GAGAGAGNGNGGGGGGGGGGGAAAACAGGCTAGTTGGCCGATTTTTTTTTATTATACCAACGGAGTAAAGACTCCCAGGAATCGTGTACATACCTTCTATCTCCTGTGATGGGCTTATTGGCTTAAACAGCGGATCATCCCTGGCCAATCCTGAATTGTATAGTATCACGGCATCCTCGAGCCCCTGCACATTATGTTAAGGTCATGTGGCAGTGCCAGTTCTCACCTGTAAACCGGCGCTAATCGTACATCTATACCATCAAAGATATATTGTGATCTCAATTGGCTACCTACATGTAAAGAGCCAAAACTAAGGAAGGAAAGAAGAAACAAAAAAAAAGAACTATAGAGAATGGATATGGTTTTATACCCCAGATATAATACTTTTCTAAATATATATCTCCCTGCTAGATAGATATCCCACTGACTTTATAGTGGCGGTAATAAAGGTGGCATCAAACATTTGTTCGGCGCTAAGCTTAGCGCTCTGGATTCAGCTATAGCTCACTAATAAAAGGAAAAATGTCTTCTATTGGGTCTCAATCGTCGTCTGCCGGGATATACAGGGTGGTCTACCCCAGTTTGCTCACTGGTAAGGCACTCTACTTTTGGTTCATTATCTTATGCCTGATGCACAATGACCTGCACCCATTTGCTATAAGAAGGGTGTTGAATGTCCTAGTAAACGTATCTGCCATTGGCTACGGAACCTCATCGAACGCGTCCCGTAGACATCAAGTAGCACCGTGGCATCTAAACTGCATCACTTCAGGCCAACAGACTCCAAAGGCCAGTCTCTTTCTTCAGAGCCACGCAAGCTTGATGCCTTTTGGGTCATGAGGGATCGCCTACTTGTCAGCTTTCATCCTCGAAGGCTGTCGTCGACGTTTGTCTCGCCTCATTTCCCCTCTGTTGCCTCCCGTCTTACTCGCAACTTGCCCTGGTTCTTCTCCCGAGCTCCAAGGCCCTTTACCGCTCTCAGTGGTGATATGGAACCCCCTGGCTCAGGGGAGGCTCATGACGTGGGCTTCAAAGTCGAGTACATCCCTCTGGAAGGTGTTGAAAGACTTGAGCGATATCGTCCTGGAGGTTACCACCCCGTAGTCATTGGTGGCTGCCTGCATGACCGGTACCGCATTGTGCACAAACTAGGCTTTGGCGCCTACTCGACCACTTGGCTGGCAAGGGATCAGACAGCCGGCAGGTATGTTGCCATCAAGATCTCCGAAGGATGGCTTCGTCGCAATAAGCTGGAGTATGACTTGCGGTATTGCATCAGATTTGACTTCAACACACTTTTCCAGAGGGTTATTAAGGTATGTCAGATGTATTTGTTCACCAAAAAAAGAAGAAAAAGGGAATACGAACACCACACGACCCCCCCCCCCCCCTCCTGTCCAAAATAGGGTTAGGTTATATACCAGAACATGGCAGTAGACTGCTGCTTCATGGGTTCTGCAGAATCCAATACAGAAACTGGATATATAATTCCTAAGATATATAGTCTAGAAGTGCCTCCGATGTCAAGAGAATATTTTATAATATTAAAAAAAAAGTGCCAACACAACAGCTTCTGTGCTCTAGATATATTCCTTTGTTTCGTGGAACTTTTCCTTCAATATGGATATCTACAAAACTAATATTCCTGTCAGAATTAGAAGTTTTTGTATGGTAAAGAAACTGATGCTTACCATCGTTGGTTAGGTCAGCGTGTTGTAGCTCTGCCTAAACCTGACGTAGTCATAACTCCGATGTAGTACGGTACATGTATATAGGGTAATATATAGTAAGGTGTCTGAAAAAAAAAACAGATACAGTGCTAAGCAGAGTTTTGAGGAGATATAATAATGATTGTAATAAAGTAAAATAAACAAACCACGTAGAAATACATGCATGTCCATACATAGATGCTTTACCCCGATGACTCCCTGGATGGGATCAATGGGATGGGTTATTCCGGATTAGGGCTAGGGTTAGAACCTATGTATTTGATGAGTGATATTCTGTCTGCTGCACAACAGCATACTATTATATCAAGGAAGGCTGCTTGTTTGCTGAAACCAAGCCCGTCAATAATAGTCGCACTTGAATTGACTCGCATCTGTCTCATTTGATTGCCTCGTGTATTCATTTGTTTATTTCTATAAATTTATATTCATTCTGTTCCGGAAGAGAGTGAAAAAAAATTGATGAGATATCGAGATGATAGCGTAGATACGATCGATAGAATAGGATAAGATGGGATATAGTACTAGTGGGCTTGTTTCGCTTTCTTTTTAGCTGAATTCGGTTTTTTCTTGTAATCGCCCTACCTGTGAATTACGCGATCCGGTTAGCTTTCCCGCTTTCGGGTTAGCGTCCTTTTGCCACCTGGAATTTCCACGTCCAATAGCGGCGACTTCCCCGGGGGGTCTTGGCGATTGGTTTCCGGATTGGGAAAGTCACCGCCAAAGTCTCCGAGGGACAGCCTGATCGGGATATAAGAATGGCTTCAGCGACGACGGGCAAGCTGTTCTCTTTCTTTCTACTCAGACAGTTTCGTTCAGTAATCCCATCCTTTTGACTACAGCATGTCCAAAGCAGTCCACCCCCTCGTCGAAACGCTCATCATCGGCGGCGGCCCCGCCGGCCTGGCGACTGCCCTCGGGCTCGCGCGCGCCCGCCGCCAGGTAATCCTCTTCGACTCGGGCAAGTACCGCAACTGGCACGTCTCGCACATGCACAACGTCAGCACGTGGGACCACAAGAACCCGGCAGACTTCCGGGCTGCGGCGCGACGCGAACTGGTCGGGGGGGGGGGGGGGGTACGTCGACGGTGAAGATCAAAGAGACGGCCATCACGAACGTCGTCAGGAATGCGGACGGCATTTTCGAGGCGACGGACGCAGCGGGCGAGACCTGGAGGGGCAAGACCCTTGTCCTCGCCACGGGTGTCACTGACAACATGCCCGATCTGCCGGGCTACAAGGAGTGCTGGGAGAGCTGCAAGATGTGAGTACTCACATACAAACATGCATACCTGATGGAATAGCTTCGTTGATCATAGCTAATAGCTACAGCTACCATTGCCTCTACTGCCACGGCTACGAAGATAGCGACTGCGCATCCGCCGGCATTATCGCCGCCTTTGGGCTGACCTCCGACGCCCACCTGGCGGCGCAGTTCGCGGGTAAGGTGGTCGTGTACACCAACGGCTCCGAGGAGTTGGCGCAGCAGGTGCAGGAGCTTGTGAAAAACAACCCGAAGATCACGACCGACACGCGACCCATCGAGGCGCTCATCAAGGAGTCCGATGCAGACGGCGAGCCCGGCATCAAGCTCGGCGCGTCGGACAGTGCGCCTGCAGAGACCGTCTCCCACCGGTTCTTCGTCCATGCGCCGGATGCCTTGGCCAATGTCAGCTTCGCCAAGTCTCTGGGTCTGGAGCTCTCGCCCAACGGCGCGGAGATTAAGACGACGGCGCCGTTCAATGCCACCAATGTGCCTGGGTGCTATGCTGTCGGCGATGTCGGATCGCCGCTGAAGGCTGTTAGCCAGGCGATGGCGTTGGGAAGTGTTGCGGCTGCGGGAGTTACGACGAATTTGTTTTGAGATATGCGTGATGGGTTGATAGAGTTGTTTCTTTGCATTTCCTTTACTGTTATTTCTCCCTTCCACTTTTGTTTCTCCGATTTAACGAGTGAATGAGGACATGACATATTGCTAGACAAGTGCTTATTAGGGTTAGAGACAATACGAACCAATCAATTCAGCCGACATCATGCGATATACAAAATCTACAATCATCGAGACAATATCATCTGAAAATATTATTCTTACGCTTCCACCCCCGAGGCCACCAGCCCATTAGATTATCTCTCCTGTCCGACAAACGTGTCGACTGATTGAACAGTTTTCTAATCATTATAGCATTTATTAGCTATACTAACATGGCCAGTTAAACGGAGACTGGTTAATAATATGTTCAATATCGCAGGGTTACAAGTAGACTAATCCAGTTGATTCAGGAAAGCATTAAACGAGACAGACTGTATACTGAATACATCAAGCTCCCTGGATAGATGAATTACTTGCCAAGGGAGATACTTCCATTTCTGGTAGAATTTATTTTCTACTGGATTTCTACCTATAAATATAAATTTATTTATTTAAAGTTATCGATAAGCTCTCCACATCGATCGATCGAATTGCACAGCACTCTAAACACAGAAACGAGTTTTCTTTCTATGTATTTTTAATTAAATTAGCATTTTCTTCCTTCATTCCTTTTTATTGGTTTTTCTATTGATTTTTTTTATTATTTTTAAAAGAGTCTCAGCGTATGTATACCTCGGTCTGTTCGGCGCCTGCAGCCAATCAGACGAGCCGGTTGCGATCGTGTGCGCGGGGATCGAACTCTGTCGCCATGATTGCATCGCTACGTGCTTCTCTGGCCATTATTATTGTCAGAATCATCTGTTTGTATCGTTTTTTTTATTTTTCGAGGGAATGAAATGAAATGAATAAATACAGGCTTGAGACGTGAGTCTGGTGTTCAATCAGGACTGTCGGGCACATACTCCGTATTATCATATCTACCGACCATCTACACTATAGTCGATTCCGAAGGACTATATTAGCAATCAGATACCCTGACGATGTATCTCCGCGCTGCCCACGCAGAGACAGACGTCGCCACTCTCCAGCAATTCATCCGCGACAACCCGCTAGGCATTCTGACGACGGCCATCCCGTCGCCCAACTACCCCCTGCTGCAATGCAGTCATATCCCATGGGTTCTGGACGTGGAAGAGAGACACGAAAACGACACTCAGGATGGCCAAGGTCCCAACCTGGGCGTCCTGCGCGGCCACATGGCGCGGCAGAACCCGCAGGCGAGAGCAATCATTGAATCGCTCACCTCGTCGTCATCCTCTTCTTTTGGCCAGCAGCAACTCAACTCCGAGGTCATGGTGCTCTTCAACGGCCCAGCACACCACTACGTCACGCCCAAGTTCTACGTCGAGACCAAGCCGGCTACAGGCAAGGTCGTGCCGACATGGAACTACAGCGCCGCGCAGGCCTACGGGCGAGCGACCGTCTACCACGACGCCAACAGTCCCGAGACAGACGCGTTTCTGTCAAAGCAAGTCGACGATCTCTCGCGGTATGCGGAGACGGCGATCATGGGCCATGTGCAGCCGTGGCAGGTGGCTGACGCGCCGGAGGGTTATCTGCGGATCATGAAGAAGAACATCATTGGGATTCGCATTGAGATTACAAGGCTGGAGGGCAAGTTCAAGATGAGTCAGGAGCTGCCGGTTGGGGATCGCGAGGGCGTCATCCAGGGGTTTAATGGGATGGGGACCGATGTGGGGAGGGAGATTGCAGAGACGGTGCGTCGGAGGGGAGAGTTAAGTGATAGGAAGAAGGAGGAGGAGAGGAAGGGAAACACTAGCTCATAATGTTGGCATTCAGCTAGCGAATGATGGTATCGTCAACATATATACATTATAAACAACTCATTTCCACTGAATTATAATATATTGTTGCCAACCGTGACAATGGCACACGCAGCTGGTTCTTTTCTTTATCTATCCTCTAATACATATAGAACTTGCTTCACCGTCAAGTCTGGAATAAAACTTACCCCTCATAGTGTAATATTAATTCCTGAGTCATGAATAGTTGAAAAGTGTTGGTATGGCTAGATATATTCAAATTGATATATCTTAGCATCTGCCTCTTGATATGTACATACTGCCATGATTTTGGCTAGAATTATTCCTGTTTCTTAAATAATCTCTAATATACAATACTAATTTCCCCTTTTTTCACTGTACGTACTTTTTTGGTATTAGAGAATTATGGCCTCAAAATTATAACAAGATATAGTTAGGAAGCCCGTCTCGAGGTAGATGATAGGACACATATGTGCATACCCAAAATATTGAAATATGGAAAAATAATATATCGTCAGAATGTAATATAGCTGCTGAGCCAAGAGTATGAGGGCATTCGCCGGAAGAGTCGGTATGCAAGAATCCGTGAAAGCTTGGACTAGATGGATACATATATAAGAGCCTATTCTAGGCAATTCCTGATGGCACCTCCACAGGCTCACAAAAAAGTACTCCGTAGATAGCATAGTCGCGCCAGCCTGTAATATCATCTACTTCCATCTACTGCACCTTCGGACTCATATCCTCACTCGCACCAAGCACAGCCCCTTTCCCATCCGGAAATGCCAGTCCTGACCAACCCATGATGTTCAGCTCAACCCATAACCTCCCATTTTCCTGCCGGACTACTTACCAAAAAGAGGATGTCTCAAACTGGCCATCTTCTCATTCGGAATACTCAACTTGCCTGCCCATTCAAAGAGTGCCCTCCAATCGACGCAGGTATGTTCGTACGAAAAGTCCGCGCGCGGCACTGCTTGGCCCTGGGACCATTCCAACGTGAAGAGCGAGACGTCTGCTCGACAGAGGATCGCCTGGCGGAGGATGTCGATTCAGTGGTCTGTCAGAAACATTGTTTTATCTGAAAGTTTTTTTTCATGGGTGAGTTGCACCAGTATGCATTCGATTCAGCCGCTTTTCCTCCGCCGTCTGATTCGCGTGGTAGTGCTCCGGCCAGGTATACTGGCGGAGATGCTTCAGACAGTACAGCTCGTGGAAGACACTCAGACCGGCAATGTACTGATCTTGCGAGCCGGGGACAGGGATGGAGTCTGCGTTGATGCGGTCGAGATCGGATTTGGGGACGGCAATGTTCATGTCTGAGCTGTTAGTTCGCAGACTCGTCCAGTCCTCTCTAGAAACAATAAATCAAGAAATGCAGAATCTCAAACCCCCTCCTAATGAATTTCCTTTTTAAGTTTAAATAGATATTGCAGACATTCTTTTTAAAAGATATTTCTTTCCAAAGAAAACTTTCGGAGCGGATGAACGGAAAATTGCACTGATAGCATTTTGCACGCACAGCAGACTGTAAGACTACAAGAGACAAATTTCCCGAGGATCGATCTAGATAGAACTCCAGACTAGCATAGCTAGTGTATAGCTAGTGACTCCACCGCCATGTGGGCGCGGTGGGGAAGCCCCATCGATGACATTCGAAGGGCGTGGGTGACATGCAAATAACCAACACTTCAGAATGAGTTCTTTTTCTCAGCAGATCAGATCAGAAGATATGACTCAAGTGAAGATGACGCCATTTTTGGATGAATGGAAGAGCGAGGAATAATTAATAATAATAAGCCTGTGCTTGGACCTCCCGAAAGGGGAAAAGAAATCGACCGATTTGTAAGCGGACACGAGGCCAGTATTGATTGATTAATTCCTCGGAATTGCACCGTCTGCTTGTCTTGCGCCGAATTATCCAATAATGCTGAATAATAACGTCTGCCTCTAGCATCACATAGATCCAATTCCGTTAATAGTAACATTAATAATCATCTCCACGAATACACTTTGATCGCTTTAGTTGCCGGCCAAGCGTCACAGGGCGCCGTCGATCCATCGACCTTCCTTTCGCATCGAAGCTGCCTGTCTTCTGCTGTCTTCTCTGGCTTTCTTCTCGTATTCGTCGAAGCTTCCTCTCCATGTCTGTTCCAGCCAGCCAGCCTGGAATGCGCCAATCGCCCAGGCCTGCATACCGCCAAACAGTTCAAACGTTTAGTTGGATCCATCCCTGCAGGCTAAGACTCGTGGTATGCTAGACGCGATGAATCAATCAATCGCGTGTTTAGCTCGGAGTTGGTATGACTCAGGCCGGCTAAGAGCAGGTCAGTGCTGCGATCTGATTTAATTGATATTATCAATCAAATCAAGCAAATTGAGCAAATCAAGCAAATCATCCATCTAACCTGACTAGGTCTCCGTCGTTCGTTTTTATAAAGAGGACGCGATGCGACGCTGCGCTCATGGGGCTGTTCAGCATCAATAGACATTCTCAAGGGCCTTGTCAGAATATCCTTATAATTTCTATATCTCTGGATCAGTAGCCCCTGTTAATTGACAGACTGCCATCTCATCTCATTATTGTCAATTGTCATTATTGTCATTATCGTCCTCATTGTCATTATTTCGTCTGATTTATATAATTAACTGCTTCTTGTTATGGCGGCATCCCTCGTCGCCAACACTCTCGAGACGCTCGCGCGGCGATCTCGTCTAAAAATTGGCATTGACCTGGCAGACCAACCGACTGGGTTCGTTGCGTCGTATACCACTCGAGACAAGATCGAAGGCGAGGTCACCATCGAGGCGGACCAAGACACGCGCTTTGACAGTGTGGAAATCACCTTCGAAGGTATGCCTCTGTCTGTTATATACTTCGCATTCGCAAGCTTACTCCCCTTCAGGCACCTCGAGAACAACCGTCGAACGACCTCCAACACCAGGCTATCCTCTAAACCAGCCCAGCGCGTTCCAGACCTTCCTCAGGCTTCGCCAGCCCATCGACGAGACCTCGTATCCGGAACCACGAGTGTTTAAATCCCGCCGTCGCTACCGATTCCCCTTCACTTTCGTCGTCCCCGAGCAGCTCCTCCCCCAGGCATGCTCTCACGAGACTTGCAATGACGACCTGCGGCTCGCGCACCTGCAGCTGCCTCCCAGCCTTGGGGATCCCATGCTCGCCAGCGACGGCACGAGCCTGCTGGACGACATGGCGCCGGAGATGACCCAGATCTCGTATCTGATTCGCGTCAGCGTGAAGAAGATCCCCAGCGACGGCTCATCGCCCCGGACGATAACGGCCGTCGCGAAGAAGGTCCGCATCATCCCCGCCAGTGTCGAGCAGCCTCCGCTGGAGATCCCCTGCAAGAGCGACGACTACTGCGTGCGCAAGGAGAAGGACGTCCGCAGGGGCCTGCTGAGGGGGAAGATGGGCCGGCTGGTGATGGCCGCGTCGCAGCCCCGGCCCTTGCAACTGCGTCCTCCGGGTGCAGAACCGTCTGATAATAATAGTGCTGCCTCGAGCAGCGTCGTCACCGTCCACCTGCGCTTTGATCCCGAGGGCAACGAGCTCCCTCCGCCGCTGGGCACGCTGTACAGCAAGCTGAAGGTGTCGACCTTCTTCGGCACGACGCCCTGGACCGAATATCCGAGCAAATCGCCCTTGCTGGCATGGAATCCGTCGCGGGGGGTGTACACGGAGACGGTGCCGCTGTCGACCCTGTGCGTCTCCTCTGCGCAGTGGGAGCGACAGTCGTCGTCCGGTCCGTCAGGAGGCAAGGACAAGGTGTTCTACACAGCGTCCATCATCGTGCCCGTGTCCCTGCCAAAGGGGAAAAAGACCTTCGTGCCAACGTTCCACTCGTGTCTGATCTCAAGGGTCTACTCGCTCGATCTATCCGTGTCGTATCACACGCCCAACGCTAATGTCCTCGCTCCTAGCGTGTCCTTGAAGGTCCCTATCCAGATCACGTCTGCGCATCGCAAGGCCATACCCGACGAACTGCTCGTGACTGATCTACTAGCCGACATAACCATCTCGCAGATGCAGGTCGACGAGGAGTTCTTCCGCCCGCGGAGCATCGCCCCGTATCCACAGAGGAATTCCTGCGCAGAGTTAACCTCATCATCGTCGACGACGTACGATAACTCGGCTTCAGACCCACTCCTTCAGCCGCCGGAATACTCCCTCTTGCCAAACAGCAGACCCTTGCCTGAAAGAGCAACAGCAGGAGGAATCGATTATGCTGACGGAGGCGAATCATCCTCCTCCTCTTCCTCTATCGGGGATATTCCTGCGAATCAGACGATAAGGACTTGTTGTTAGCTGCTATTCATTTCATGGCTGTTTAAACAAACGTTCTCTGTGCTGTGATGATATTACTGTTAAGATGGATGGATTCCTGTCTATGATGCATGCATGAATGATTCCCCGGAAGTTTGGTCTATCGTTTTTTATTTTTACATGTATGATTTTTTTTTTTCGTTCTTGTATCTTTTTGTATTTTTCCTATATATATGCTTTTTTTTTTTGTTTGCTTGTTCTTTTTCCATATATCATTGTCTCCTTGTTAATATTATCAAAAAAAAAACCCCAACATGTCTAGACGGCAACTCAACTGTTGACTATGATAATTGTTTCTTTTAGTATACTTCTATATATACCCTTAATGATATATATACCCTATGTTTATAACTACTGTATCTATTCGATTCTATCTATATCTAGGTACATACATACATACAGTAGTCTACCTGTCCAGTTGCACTCACATATCCGTCCAAAATCACTCTCATAAAACCTTCGTCAAACCCTCATTGATAATCACTACCTGCCCACTCACTCAACCAACCGTCGACTCACTCGATGGAGTCTCTGCACCGACTTTGACCTCTTTTTCCTGCTGCTGCTGCTGCGACTGCTGGTCTCTACTCTCATGAGAGGTGCTCTGCTGCCGCAGCGCAACCAGCCCACGATACACCTGCAGCGTCTGCTGAATGCCGCCGTCGAGCAGCGGATAAAACGTCGCCATCAGCATGGTGAGCCACAGCCAGATGATGGCGACGATGACCCAGGCGATGTAGAACTGGACAGTAGTCAGCATGGCCTAGTCGTAGAGTGTAGCTATGGGTATATAGGTGTATGTACGCACCCCCTTCCCGAAAATATAGTGCGAGCCGTACATTGGCAATGGCCAGAGGACCCAGTGCCCCAAAAAGGTCGCGATGGACCAGAAGGCGGCGATGCGACCCCAGCGTTTTAATTCTTTTTCCTTTTTCGCGTGGGCAGACTGTGCGCCAGATTCGACTTCATTCACATCGCCCTGCTTGTTCGCGTCCTCGCCGTGGTGGACAGTCGTCAGATCATCATCCAGCTTCTCCAGCGCCAAGCGCTCCTTCTTAAAGTCCGCCCAGTCGTACTTCTGCGGCTTGGTGAGGAACGTGATGATGATCGAGTACGGGATGGGCGAGAATGCAGACGCCACGGTGCCGTAGACGCAGGGCAGCACCTGGCCCGTCGTCGATACGGTGACCTCGCCATAGAACCGGTGTGCTGTGCCCAGCCAGACGGCCAGCCCGGTCGCCATGCCCAGCACGGGGGCCAGGATGGCGGCGATGGTGTTTTGTCGTCGCCAGAGGATGGTGAAGACCATGGGGAAGATGCCGGGGCAGGTGACGACGCCTGGATTGTCAGTAAACACATACATCTATACTCTGTAGGATAGAGAGTACTCACCCAGCATGTACAGCGTCCACTGCAGATCCGCCCCAACATAGTACAGCATGGTGCTGAACCCCGCCGAGAAGAGCGCAAAGAAGACGACGCCAAAGTGGCTCCAGCGGATGATCTGGCGGTCCGTCGCGCCCTTGTTGAAGTACTCGCGGTAGATGTCGAAGCTGATGATGGAGCTGACGGCGATGACCTGCGCGGAGAGCGTCGACGTGACGGCCATAAAGGTGATGAGCACGATGGCGGCAGCACCGCCTTTGCCGGCGACGGTCAATGCGGCGTAGGGCAGGACGAGCCCGGCGCTGACTTCGGAGGTGGTCATTCTCTGGGCAGCGTTAGCAAGAGTAAGTCATGGATGTGAATGTTCTGGATGAGATGCTCATGCTCACCCGTGGATACGTCGGAAAGAACGGGGTGTTCTCCAGACCGATGGCGACGGAACTCATCACTGTGCCCAGGGCCCAAGGGATGGCAAAGTATCCGATGCCGCCGATGGTGTAGCCGGGGACGACGGCGGCCGGAGACGCGGAGAAGGCTTTGATGAAGTAGCTGGTGTCCATCTACATGGAGTATTAGCATGAACAGGACGAGCAATCTCCGGTGACGACATACAATGACCAGACCAAAATTGGTGCACGTGTGGATGATACCAAAGAGGATGGCCTAGCAGTGAATTATTAGCATTCTGTCACTAGACGATCTGATATAATGACTGACGTACATCCTTCGAAGTCATCGTCAGATACGTCCCCTTGTAGTTGCCCTCCAGCGGATGCCGGAATCCCGCCGCCTGGACGAGGTCGTACAGATGACTGGCGGAGCCGACCTCGCTGAAGGTGAAGGCCTTGATGGAGAAGTAGCAGGTGATGATGAGGATGACGACGGTGTGGAAGTAGTCGGTCAGAAAGCTGGCAGGTCAGTTAGCCCCAAAGTAGATCAGAAAAAAAAAGGAAAAAAAAAAGAAAATGTCGACATACGTCGCTTTGATCCCACCGACAAACGTGTAGATGGACACTCCGACGGGGAGAAGGAATGTCGCTGCGATGGTGTGCATTCCGGTCCTGTCGACAGTCGTTAGGATGCAGTTTCTCGACCAAAAGCTTGGATGTAAGTACATACATAGCAGAAATCGCCGCCGACGCACCAAGAAGCATATTCGCGCAGGCAAAAATATTGTTAATTAGACAGAGGACCATAAACACGACATGCGCGATGCGGCCTGCCACATATCAGCACACACTATTCTTCTCATCTACTCATTATCGAGGTGATACCATATCGCACCCGCACCACCTCCAACGACGTATGCGCCTCGGGAATCTTCCGCTTGCACGAGATGCCCAGCAGCGCGAAAAATACTATCATCGGGCTGCAGCCTGCTGCGAACCAGAAGGGGCCTGCCATGCCGTAGCTGTACCCGACGAGGCTGGAGCCGAGGAGGGCGGTGGACCAGAGCCAGGACTGGAATATCCATCAGTTTTTGGCCTTGCGGATTGATGTGGTCAAACATACCGATACGACGGCCGATGCGGTCAGGCCGGTGCGAACGGTTCGGTTGGCAGTCATGAACCTGGACAATCAGTAATCAGTACGGCGTGAAACAAATAACAATTGTAGATGAAGCACGGAGTATGGGATATGGGATTCTACATTTCCGTCTTCCTGTTATCCTCGCCAACAGTCTTGTTCAGGACCTTGGTGATGAGCATCATCACTGCAAACCATCAGTATAGGCGTTTTTACTCCGTACTTATACTAGGCAAGTATATACATACCCGTCGCAATGATCATTCCTACCACCACGACAATCACATATCCCACTGCTTGGGGCAGCGGAGGCTGGATCGCCGTGGCGGTGGCATCTCTGCTGTGTAGCTGGAGCTGGGGCATTTGTTCTCCAGAGTCTAGCTACGGACTGACTGAAATCAAGTCAAAGATAGGAGACAGCAGACTGACTGTCAGTCCTGCAGAGCTCAGCTTGCCTAGGTACATCTTCTTCAGAAATGGAGGCCAATTTATCTATTATCGTAAGTACGAAGGACTAGCTAACCCACTAGCCAGGCCAGACAGGCCGAATCCAAGACCAGCTAGGTAACTAACTATGCATGCAATGTCTAGGCAGGGATCTCCAGGTCTGTGCAGCACCTCCAGCAGGGACTGTACCTGGTACGTACTCCTGCCGAATCTACGGGCCGATGGATCTGAACCTGCATCTGCACGAATAACGAAGAGCAGGCATTGCGCAAGCAGAACCATGTAGATGGTATGGATTGTATAGTTGTGGACAGTGCCGACAGCAATGTATCTACCTGGTAAATGGCAATAATAGTCTGGTAAATGGCAATAGTACTGTACCTCTCCAAGCTGATTAAAGTTTAGATCTCCATTGCTCCGTAGTACTCCATACGGAGTGCAATATAGTATCTACTACGGAATCTTACGGGGATCTACGACGGAGGACGATCATCAGAGGGAAAAAAGAGAAGTCCCACAATGAGACGATCGTGCTCCCGGATGAGGTGCTTGCTTCATCCAGCACGAGCTAATGAATTAGCTTTAACTTGTATGGATAGAGGATGGATGGATGCAGCTAATCGATCACGCGAGAATTAAGCTATGTTGCAAAGCCCCAGCGTCTTGGGACGGCGGGGAGTCTGTGGTTTCTTTTCAAGTTAATCAATTAATTAGTTAATTGATAAATAAATAAATTCAAATAAATTAAATGCAATTGAACGGGATTTGGGTCACAATATTATTATTTTTATTTTTATTTTTATTTTTTATTGTTCTTCAAGATAAGCATAATCATGTTGTGAAGTCGGCCTCTGATTGGTCAATGCCAGCTGTGTCGGCACATGAGGAATCAAGCCCTAAGTAATCGTCTTGTCTACAACACTGCTTACGGCACTTGCAAGAAACCATCATCCGAATCCAGACCCTTTTCCGATGTTAATCAACAGTTTTTTTTTCCTTTTTGACGACGTGACGATCATCATGTTTTTCTCGGATCTGCCGATTTGCACCTGGCTTGGCGGTTGTTTCGTTCCCCTGTTCTTTTTCGTGCTGTTATCACGCCATCGCGGTCCACTGTGAGGTTATCACCGGAGTCCTGTCCCTGGACCCTGCAACGCAACTTACTCAACCCCCGACACCGGCCAGATTGATTGACGTACGCTGTTGTCCCTGGCTGGAATGATCGGTGTATGCACCATGTCTGGACTCCCTCTGGCGGGGTAATAATAGCTCTTTTTGTCCCTCCCCTGCCTGCTGCGGGGTTGGGATTTATGGCAGAGCTGTCGTAGAATAATACCAAGTGTCTCTTTTTTTTTTGTACAGTACATTTATATCTTTCTCACTGCGACTGCTGGAGATTGTCATTCTCTCTGTAAATAAGTACGCAGCTAGACAGCTCAATTGACAATTCATCGTCCACCATGGCCAGCACAAATGGCGAGGCCCGCCCTCGCAAGAGTCTCATCATCAACGCCTTCGTTATGATGTGTAAGTCGCCATCAATCAGTGAGTCAGTCGAAGCTTGCGCATTCGCTGACCCTGCTATCAGGCAGCGGCCATCAATCGCCAGGATTATGGCAGCATCCCGACGACGAGTCCTGGCGATTCAACGACGTAGAGCACTGGGTTGAGCTGGCCAAAACGCTCGAGGCGGCCAAGTTCCACGGCATCTTCATCGCTGATGTGCTGGGTAAATAACACATCTCTTCTTTTTTTCGGTCTGTTCTTGTCTGACGACGACGACGACCAGGCGGCTACGACGTCTACAAAGGCCCGCGCAACCTCGAACCGGCCATCGTCTCCGGCGCGCAATGGCCCGTCAACGAGCCCTTGGCCGTCGTCCCGGCCATGGCGGCGGCGACGGAGAATATCGGCTTTGGCGTGACGGTTGCGACGACGTACGAGCAGCCGTATCACCTTGCCAGGAGGCTGTCGACTGTCGATCATCTGACCAAGGGACGGTGAGTATACACTTCCTTCTTGGGGTGAAGGATTGAGATATTGACGGACGACCTTCGCAGGCTAGGATGGAATGTGAGTGAATGACCGGAATTCTAGAGAATCTGATACTGATCGTCCAGATTGTCACCGGATACCTCGACTCTGCAGCTCGAAACCTGGGACACGGCCAGCAGCCGCAGGTACGTCCATACAGCCCTCACAACCACGGAATTCCACTAAGAAATATATTTCCAGCACGACGACCGCTACGCCATCGCAGAAGAATACGTCAAAGTCACATACAAACTCTGGGAGTCATCCTGGCGCGACGACGCCGTCGTGCTGGACCGCGAGCGCGGCGTCTACACCGAACCCTCACGAGTGCGCGAGATCAACCACGTCGGGAAATACTACACCGTGCCAGGCCCGCACATCTGCCAGCCCAGTCCGCAGCGCACGCCGCTGATCCTGCAGGCCGGCACGTCCAAGGCCGGCAAGGCCTTCGCCGCGCAGCACGCAGAGGCCATCTTCGTGGCTGGCCACAGCCCGGCCACCGTCGCCGGCAACATCGCTGAGATCCGCGAGTTGGCCAAGTCCAAGTTTGGCCGCGACCCCCGCAGCCTCAAGTTCCTGGCTCTGTTCTGCCCTGTCCTGGGCCGCACGGAGGAGGAGGCGCTCGAGAAGTTCGCGCAGTACAGGAAGGCTGGCTCCATTGACGGGGCGCTGGCGCTGTTTGGCGGCTGGACGGGCATCGATCTGAGCAAGTACGGCGATGACGAGGAGCTGCGCCATGTGGAGAGTAATGCGATCAGGTAGGTGAAAAACAAGACCTACACGCATCTACAGAACATACATGACTTCAGTGCTGACTGCTACAGATCCGCCGTCGAAGGCTGGTCCAGGGCCTCCCCCGGCGTGGCCAAATGGACCAAGACGACGGTCGCCCAGCACATCACTGTCGGTGGCCTAGGGGCAACGGCCGTCGGGACGCCGGAGCAGATCGCAGACGAGCTGGAGCGATGGGTTGCAGAAGCCGATGTGGACGGCTTCAACTTTGTACGAACACCTCTCACCTCCACATATACTGGACGGTGCTGACGTGCTGACGTGCAACAGGCCTACGCCATCAAACCCGGCTCCTTCCACGACATCATCGAGCTCCTGCTGCCGGAGCTGCGCAAGCGCGGCCTCTTCTGGGACGACTACGCCGTCAAGAAGGGCACGTACCGCGAGAACTTCTACGGGAAGAAGGGTCAGACTGGCCCGCCGGAGGATCATCCGGCTGCCAAGTACCGCTGGAAGGCGGGGGTGGATGCAAAGGATCATAAGATTCCTGAATAATGGCTGGCTGTTCGTTGATACTTTGGTCAGCCGAGATAAGTATTTCTGTACCGCTCTCAGCTTGTTCAGTATTTGCTAAAGTCTGTTGAATGTGTCTTATGTTTTCAAAGACATTGTGACTGTATATAGTTATGAGAAAATTCTCCTGATGATCATTGTTGAACGGTTATTGTCAAGGCTATTCCTATGCAGTGAATACGTAGATTCAGTCTAACATAAATACAGAGCAAAACATATATACTCTCATAACTATCAATACCACCACAAATCCAAGTTTTAGAACCCCTTGTGACATCAAACGCCAAGAATGCAAACACCACTGACAGCCGACAGACCAAAGAGATTCTCTTTCGTGCTTTTTTCTACGTCAACATATCATCCAGCTTCTCTCCCAGCACCGCCTCAATCTGCTTCACCCACTTCCGCACCTCGCGCTCCACCGTCTCGTCCTCGTCTTCCATCAGCTCGCTGATGTACGGCAGCATCTCTGGCAGCAGGGCAAGCCACTCCTCGCCCAGGCGCTCCGTGAGCGACTGCTCCACCTTCAGCGCCGCCAGTCGCGTGTGCGGGCTATCGCCGCCCGTGACTCGGGCACCGCCCACGGTCGTGGTCGACGGACGCAGGTACTTCATGATCGCCGAGTTGAGCTCCTTGAAGTTGTCGGGCGAGTCGGCGGCGACCGCAAGCTCAGTGATCGAAGGAACAGCCTCAGCAATAATGACAGATGCGGTCGACGAGTTGGTGGCACGCGAAAGCTGGGAGATCAGAGGAGTGGAAATGGCGGCCAGATGAGACGGTGATTGCCAGAACTCTGCACCAGATGTTAGCTTGGATTCTGCAAACGTCGTCGCGTGAAGATCCTACCATCTTGGTCGTGCTCAAAGGCATTCCGCAACATTCGGATCGCCGCCAGCCACAGACTCTTCGAGTCCTTGTCAGTCGGCTTGGCGAATTTCAAAACTTCCACCACATTGTCGATAATGTAGCTTGCATAGCTCGTGACAATAGACTGGATTCTATTAGAAAGAGTCTGCTTGATGAGTACTGAATAATGCTTACCTTGAGCGTGCCAAAGAAACTCTGCAAGAACTTGTAGAACGACGTAAGCCGCCTCGTCCTGCCGAGGGCCTCCTTCTTCGGCAGGCCATTCGTCGCCCACTCGACAAACTCGATGAAAATCGGCCGGAAGGTCGTGTCGTTGAGCTTGTAGATCATCTTGATCGCAACCTCGCTGACAATGTTCTCGATCTCCTCCAGCTCCGACTCTGCATACTCCGACTCATCCGCAGACATCTGCTCTCGGCGCAGGTCGAACGCTTTGCGGAAGAAGTTCGACAGGATGCCGACGTTCTTGACCGTGGACGACTTCGGGTGCTTCTCAATGGCAAGGCTGATCACGTCGAGCGCCTCCCTCACGGCAGTCGGTCCCTGCTGTACCGCGAAGGCCCAGTTGCGGTCGACAGCGCTAAACGATTCCTTGACATCGACCTTCCGGGCGAACAATTTGAGCATCTCCTGACGGGCATCATCACTGTCCGCAGAAAGGCTCGATTTGGCAGATGTGAAGGACAGCTGCAAGATCCGGTCAAGATGCTTGTCGGACAGCATGAACGGAACCTGGATAAGGAGCGCCGACAGCAAGGAGAAGACAGCGTTGTGCATTTTCTCGTTCTCCTCGCCCTCTTTCAGGCTGCCTTCAAGCAAGCTCAACGACCGGCTCAGTGTCTCGGGAAGAGCAGGGATGATTGCCTGTCCAAGCACTTCCGCCATCGATGCCAGACACAGCACGCCCATGACACGAATCCGCTCGTCTGACTGCCCAATGCAGGCCTCGCTGGCGACAACCTTGGCAGCGTGCACCACTGTGCCCGTATCCTTCTTGCCATATTTCTCGGAAATACGGTCCACACAAGCAACGGCAGCATGCTTGAGCAGGATATCGGGCGAAGTCTGAATGATGTTGACGAGAATGGACACAAAGGCCAGGACTCTCTTTTGTGATGCGCTGTCCCGCTCTGGATTCTGACGCACGCGGCTTTCCAGCAAGCGGAGGACCTTTCGGCGAAGTTCGTCGTTGGGCCGCTTGAGAAGCTCTTCCACCGTATCGAGGAAGTCCACGAGCGACAGGGTACCCAGCACGGCGCCAAGAACATCACCGCAAACAAAGCTGAGGGACTTGTCATCCTGCACCGAATCTGCCAGGGTCAGAATCTGTTCAAGGATCTGAGAGAAAAGGACGCGGATGGTGGCCTCCGCATCCTCGTCCTCAGACGTATAGACCATGGCCATCTTCGAGCCAAGAGACGAATGTTTCAGGAGGTATGCCAACGACCGCAAAAGAACCTCAGCGACCTTGTGAGGATCGCTCGCCCCCTCGTTTCCGATACCGAGAAGAACTTGAGAAATACCCGGCTTCGGTTGGAGAGAATCGCTGACCAAATCCATATACTTCTTGTACGTCTACTCAAGTGGTTAGAACTGTGAAGACGAGAGGAAGGGTCTATTTCAACTTACAAGGAGCTGTAGCTCGGCATCGATGTTGGCAACGAGACCAGTCATCAAGGAACAGACATCCTTGTCCAGGCCATAGCGGTTGGCAAGCATCGCAAGAACAGCAAACAAGAAATCTTGCGTACCAAGCTTCGTGACCAAGGCTTCGAACAGTCGCTGCCGCCGATGAGACGGGATATGTTCAAACGCGGCGGTGAAACTGAGAAGCAGCTCTGAAGTACCAGAGACCACGTCACGCTTCTGGTTGCGCAGCGACTGCACGAGAGCCGGCACCACTTGGTCAATCGTCTGGTCTATGACATGGACAGAGTACTCGTCGTCTTTCCTAAGGACGCTGGATCCCATGAACGTGAAGATCGGCATCACGCTGTGAAGAACCAACTCTGGTGCAATGACCGCAAGACCCGATACCAACAGAAGGGCCATATTCTGCACTTGGGGAGTGTCCGTTGTGCGAACGCAATCGACAACGAGATCCGTGCGGATGGTCGAGGTATCAAATTGAGGTTTTGCAGAGGCCTGTTTCATAATTAGCATATGTCTCATATTTGCATCGAGAGAGAGCTTACCCTTGACTTGTTCACAATCGCCAACAAGCTACCTAGAGTCAGGCTGAGCAGGTAACCCAGTCCAGACTGAATCTGGGACTTGAAGTGGTGAAGAGTCGCGAGAGTTTTGAATAAACCATCGGCCAGTTCCGGATACTTCTCTGGCCCAGAACTGTCCACGAGCTCGAGAATGAAAGTGACCTTCTCCACGACTGCACTCAGCTCGGACTGGTTCTCACGACTCATCGCCACTGCATTGTTCTGGTTCGTGCGTCGTCGCTTCGGTGACGGCGCGTGACTCTCCAAGTTGGCGATGGAAGATGGAATTTTCTCTATCAAATCCACCAGAGCGGTTCCAGGAAGTTCCACACCCCGAAGAGTGTTCATAGCGTTGGTCTGCAGTGTTTCATTGTCCTTTGAACCTTCAAGCGAGAGGTGAAGCAGCTGGTCGCAGGCGGAAAGTTGCCGCTCCTCGCCAATCTTGGTCCAGATGCTCTGGATGCGAGCGAAGACCGCGGAGAGGAAGGCCGGTCTCACGCCCGGGGATTGGCTCGCACTGGCTATCAAGATATCAACGGCTTCTTTGTCCTTGTGGGTAACAATGGCAGCGACCTCCTGTTCCAACTCAGTAGCAGATATGTGTTCCCTTTCGCAGATCTTGGCCACCTCCTCCTGCGTAAACGTTCGCCAGTTCTCAAGGAGCGGCAGGAGTTCTCTGGTCCGGGTATGTGAACTGATTCTGTCAACCCGGTTAAGGAGTTTGAGGAGTCGGAGTTTCACTGCATAGAGTGGCGTATGAACAACATGAAAACAGAGGAAGGAAAAGACGCTCAGCCTCAGTGATTTCTTCAACTCGGAAGCTTCATTCGACTCCGAACTCGACGATCCCTTTAATGCGCTCTCAATTGCCGCCCCAATGTGGCTCCCATCAAGAACGAATTCTTCCAGACCCGGAAGCAAGACACGATCGACGAACTTCTGTGCGTCGCGGGTAGAGAGCCATTGAATGGACTGTGATTGCTTCTTCTGCGTGTAGAGGCCATCGTGGGCCCAAATGGTGGCGTCACCGTCCTTCTTCTTCGCCTTTCGGGACAGATCCGCAACCGCAGCGGCAAGATTGGCTGCCTCACGGCGAATTTTCGCAGACGGGTCGCTCAGAGCTGCAATGATGTACGGCAACAATGCCTGAAGGTCAACAGCCGCGGTAGTGTCGGAAGGTAGAGAAGAAGCTGCGATGTTAAGTGCCGCAGCACGAGCACCCACTGGATGAGGGCCTGCAGAAGCGCGAATAATGAAGGACAAAAATTGCGGCTTGTCCGTGATTTGGGCTTTTCCAAGGACTGGGAGATTGGCGACCGAGTCCAGCCTCTCTTGAGAGCCAGCAGCAAGCGTGAGAGCTTGAACAAGCTTGTCAAACACGGGAGAGCCCTGGTCAGCCAGGAACGAAGAAGGATAGCGAGGCTCTTTGGACAAGGATTCCACAAGTTCGGGGAAAACATCAGTTTCTTCCTCCTCGTCTGCATCTTTCATCTCAACATCTTCACTGGGCGGCAGCGCGGGCTGCTTGTCGATGACCGTCTGCAAGCTGTGTTCCAGGCTTGCGACGTCAATGGCTGACTCGGACGTAGCGGCTTGAAGAAGAGGCCGGAGAGAGTCGGACGAATTCAGACCCTGGACGAGCTCGGAAAAACGGGCCTGAGTATCCAAGGACATTTCGCCTTTCTTCTGAGCATCGCTTGAGGCTTGAAGGATCATTGTTATGGCCTTACGATTCCCGGTCTCATCCAGCAAGCCCTTCTCGAAGACATAAGAGATGAAATCCAAGCGCGACTGGGCGTCTTGCTTTTCGAACTCGGAGAGACAGCCAGAGACCATGCCTAGAACGAGCTGCGACACCTGGTGCTGCGCCTTGACTTCGGCCAGCAGACCCACGGGATTTTCCAATCTCAAGACAGACCGGACCACCTTCTTCGGCAACGTCACGTCTTCTTTGTGCTGTGCCAGAACCGACAGACACACGATTCCGGAGCTCAACGTCTCTTGCGTCCAGGATCCCACCACAGCCTCCATCATCGAATCGATGACGTTGTCTTGAAGAGCCGCTTTTGTCGCGAAGACCACTGCTATCATGTAGCACCCAATCACCAACTCTGGGGCCTTCTTCATGGAAAGTCCATCATTGAGGACTGGAAGGAACCGCAAGAGAATGTCTTCGTGGTTTTTCTTCTCAATCCCCCGACGCCCAGAGCGTGCATTGTCCAACATCCCCGCAACGGCTTCGGTCATGATCCCGGCCCAAAACGCGAGAAGGCCGTGGTAATGGGCATGTTGCTTGCATACTTGCAGCACATATCGGTTCAGAGCGGAGCAGAACGCCTGGTTGGTCGTCGCACTGTGGACAAGCGGATGCCGAGGCGGGTTGATCAGACTTCTCTTGTACGGATAGAGAACCTTGAACGTCGACGTCAGATCCTCCGGCAGGATCGCCAGCAGATTCAAAAACACTGGCGTCGAGTGATACGGGAGAAACGTGAACAGGAGGAAGGCTGTGTTGTATTCGTGGACTCTATGGGATTCCGTCAGCAGGAAGCTCTCTCTCTCAGGCCGATTGCTGGATGTCATACCGAAAACGCCTCACAAGCCACTCCACCGCCTTGATCGCAGGGCTGAGCAGCAATTTGCTTCCGACCAGGGCAAGGAACGATTCCAAGACCGCATCGAGTTCCTTGTTCTGAGCCGCAGTCATTTGTGTTCGCTCTTCGGCCTTGCTCTGCTCACTGAAAATGGTGCGCCCGAATTCAGCGAACCGGGCGTCCAGCTGGCACAGCTCCTGGAAGCCTTCGTAGCATATCTGGTAGATGGTGTCGAAATCCTGCGAGATGGCAATCTTCTTCTCGAAGATCAGAGACTGGGCGTGCGCGACCCGCTGCGCCTTGAGATCGAGCGGGTTCGTCGACTTGGCCGCAATCTGCGAGAGCTGCGCAGCGAGGGACGTGGCCATCTTGACTCTGCTGCTGTTCGTCTCACCGGCAGCAACCCATCTCCAGAGTGTGCGTCGAGATGAAAAGCGTCGCGACGGCGATAGTAGATTTTCTCGATCGATTCTTAGATCGGCGGAAGCCAAAAAATTGCTGGCCCGGGAAGGAAATTTTTCCCGAGGCCGCGGAGCTCGAGTGGAGCCTCCAAGCAACTCGACGCGACCGACATCATCCAAACGCCTCAGCTCGACTCGCCATGTCGCGCTGCTGGGAGCATGGATTCCGGCGGCTCCAAGGTCAGGTTTCCGTGATATGCGTCCTCAGCATGTGTCGCGTGCCGTCCTAACGCCAGATGCAGGGAGAAAAGGCCATCCCGAAGTTCGCCAGCTTCAAACCGAAACCCGCACCGGCGCCGGCGACTGAGCCTGAACGCGAACACCGCGAGCGTGATGCAAAAGCGAGCCACCGTGATGACAGCTCTCGGCACAGAGACAGACATCGGAGTCATCGTCACCGATCGCGTTCCAGAGAGCGCAGTCGAGACCGCCATTCCCACCATGCGTCCCGGACTAGGGCCGAGGAAGCGCGGCCCACGGTCGCCCTGAAGCCTGAGGTGGAAGAAAGTTCCGATCTGTATGTCGTTGACCGCAAGGGAGACAGGTACAACGTGACATATGGAACGATCCACAGGTACAATGTCCCGCAGTACCACCGCGTCGGCAAAGGCCGTGTGCTGGGATTGCCAGCAGGCTTCAAGATTGATCGCGATCACAAGGACGAAGCTACGATCGTAATCCGAACCGATACCGATATCTGGCAAGGCGATGGGTCAAGACATAAGAGCAAGAGCGTACTCTCCAGAGGAGAGACGAAAGAAACACGATTTTTCCGTGTGCGCCGTGAGACTGCGTCCGACGCGAGTGATGCTCGGAAGGACTTCCTGCCTCTGAGTTCTGAAGGCAGCCGAAAGCGAAGAAAGCTTTTGGGCGACTTTTCTGCCATGGACACGTCAGATTCAGAGGCAGAAAAATACGCATATCGATCGATACATGGCAAGGCCAAGCCCGAACAGGATATAGGCAGTGACTTGGAGATTGAGTCAGCGTCGGATCTGAGCGAAAACGATGGCGTTGTCCTCAACTGGGAGCAGGAAGTGAGACAACGGAATTCAGAGCTCTCGAGGCGTGTCGAAGAGCACCCAGAGGATATCGATGCTTGGCTTGAGTTGATTAAACACCAAGATGCACTCCTTTCTGGCTCCAGGGAGGAAACTCGCCAACTGACTGCTGCAGAGAAGCGAAGTTTGGCAGATATCAAACTATCGCTTTACGAGAAGGCGATCAAAAAAGTGGGTGCGAATCCCGCCAAGGACCGTCTTCTGTTGGGCTATCTAGAGGAGGGTGCCAAACTTTGGGATTTCAAGAAACTATCGGAGCAATGGCATGATGTCTTGAAGCGCAATTCCCGGGTTTGTCAGTCTCTGGGTCAAGTACCTGGATTTCCGGCAAACCGAATTCCTTGACTTCACCTACGAACGCTGCAAGGCGATTTTCGTGGACTGCATGAAGCTCAATGCCTCGAGTCCCGATAGTCCAGAGAAAGCGGTCATCCACGCATACTTGTTCCTCCGTATGACCCTTTTCATGCGGGAAGCGGGTTTCCTGGAGCTGGCAAATGGTCTCTGGCAAGCCGTCCTCGAGTTCACTTTCTTCCGGCCGGAAGAATTCAAGCGCGATTCCGGGGAGAGGGCACTGACGGCATTCATGGACTTCTGGGACTCGGAAGTCGCGCGAATTGGAGAGGAGGGGGCAAAAGGCTGGAATAGCGACGACAATGCCAGTCTAGAACCCAGAATTTCTGCCTCGCAATCACGTGTCGTGCCAGGGTCGCTATTCGCGTCGTGGTTGGAATCGGAGACAGTCCAGAGACGCAACGCTCGTCTTCCAGCACGAACCCTCGACGAGGGAGAAGACGACGACCCTTACCGTGTTGTTCTGTCTTCCGACATCCAGGATTTCCTGCCCTACTTCACGGACTGGAAATCGCCGGATGTGCTCATTGAGAGCTTCCTGTGCTTCTGCCGTCTGCCTCCATTGGCATCGCCCACTCTGTCAGAAACCAGCAGGTCCTGGAGTGGCGATCCTTTCCTGCGCAACGAGCTGGTCGAATCGCCTGATTCTGCACTAGTTGAGATGCTGAGCACCCGGCAGTCGGAACCTCACCATTCACCGAAAGTACTCGATAGTCCTCCTCTACAGAACGTAATACACTCCTTGGACACCTTATTCGCAGAGAAAGACCGTTGGTTTTCTTCGCTCGCGACTTGGAAAACGCTTGTTTTCTCCGACTACAGCCCTATCGACCCTGACTGGGTGCGTCGCGCGCTGCGACTGTTGGTCGATGCGTCTCCCGCAGACGACGCACTGGCTGAGTACGTTCTCGCCGTCGAATTCGTATGCGATGCCAAAGAGGCAAAGAAGTACGCAAAATCATTGCTGAAGAGAAGATCGGCCAGTCTCCGGCTGTACAATGTTTACGCTCTCATGGAGTGCCAGTCTGGAAATTCCGCGTCAGCCGCCCATGTCTGGGCGACGACTCTCTCAATGAGCACAAGCATCTCGGACGTGCAGAAGTTGGAATACGGTCCGCTCTGGCGAACGTGGGTTTGGGAGTCGTTGGATGGACGGAAACAGGGGGAGGCGGTTCAGTTACTGCTGGCCATTCCCGGCTATACTGTCGACCTGAAATCATTAGGTGATGCTCCGACCTCGAGAATCGCCAGCCCAGCGGAGCTCCTCAAAAGCCAAAGGGTGAGTTATATTTCCACTACGTATCGTGAAGAGTGAGAACTGATCTAATGGCGTTCTAGTTCCTCTCGGAAAGCCAAGAGCATTCGTTGGCTGTGCAGAACTACAGAGCGTTTGTGGCGTGGACGGATTGCCTCGCGCTGCTTCTGTACCTTACCCGGTCGTCTGACCTGGGTGCTGCGGTCGACGTATACAAAAGCGCGTCGGAGCGGCTCGCCCACGTCCCGCAGATATCCAAGGCATCCGTGTCCTACGTTGATGAACTGCTCCATCAGTCTCGGGCGCGGTTGCTCTACCACCACGTCGTGGCCAGCCACGCGTATAAACCAGCCCAGATCCGTACTCTTCTGCACGAGAGCATCTCGCACTTCCCCCATAACACGATGTTCCTGTCGCTCTATGCCTGGAACGAGTCCAGATTCCGCATCGACGAGCGCGTCAGGGACGTCCTCCGGGATATCACGCAAGACGTCCGCAAGCACGACACGGGCCAGTCCGTCCCGGTCACATCGCACCTGTTCGCCATCTTCCACGAGATCCATCGCCCCGTGTACTCCGGGTCAACGCTACACTCTGCGCGAGCGGCCTTCGAGCGTGCCATCGGCGACCCGGCCTTCTGGACGGGCGGAAGATCCGGCCTCGCGGACAACACCAACACGGGGCAATCCAGCCTCTCGCTCTGGAAGCTGTATGTGCTGTTCGAGCTGCGCCACAGGGACATGCGTCGCGCCAAGGACGTCTTTTACCGCGGCATGCGCGCCTGTCCCTGGTCCAAGGACCTGCTGCTGCTCGCGTTCCGGCATCTGCGGGGAGAAGACGGCGGGATGGGCTTTGACGAGCTCCGCCGCGTGTACAACGTGCTGGAGGACAAGGAGCTGCGGATCCACGTGGAGATTGACGAGGCGACGTTTGGGAAAGCGGAGGCTATTTTTGTCCGGGAGCGAATGATGAGGGATGGTAATAATCCAAACACTATGATCAGCAAATCCACGAGATTTGGCCCAGATCACCAGCAGTCGAGGGCTAGGGATCTACCGATCCACCTTCCTGAAGACGCAGATAGTGGTAGCGAAGACCAAAAGCAATAAATAGGTACATAGATAAATAAACGAAGCTAATGAGTAATAGAGAATAAATTCCTCGTGCATCAGAACTTTGTATGTATATAATAGACGGTCCAGATACAGATGGTACATGATTCTTCTTCATTCCATATACGGTTATATACACTGGCTTCCTTAGGTAGGTCGTTATATAGACGCAGACGCAGTGACAAGATAAGTATTTAGAGAACAAAAAAAAAAGACAAACAAAAAAAAACAGTAAATTCGAGATATTTTCCCTAGAAATGCTCCTTCCAGAACTTGAACTTGACCTCCCGCGTCGACACCTCCTTGGCCGCCTTCTTGATCTGCCGGGCCGCAGCGTTCGGTCCACAGAAGTACACTCCCACCTCGGTGGTGATGTTAGCCTCCAGCCCCGTCAGATACGTCTGGTCGATCAGCCCCTGCCGCATGGCCAGAAACAGTCGCTTGAAGTCCGGTCGGCCAAAGTTGGTGCGGCTCTTCAGCTCCGTCAGCGGGTCGACGTCCGTCCCGACGGAGTTGAGGTAGATGTTCGTCGCCGTGTCCTGGTCCAGGCGCTGGGTGAGGTAAGTGTGGATGCGCAGGAACTCGGGCCCGCCCTGGCTCGTCGCGGCTGAGGCGGACTGTTGCTCCAGCGAGGACAGCAACGCCTGGAACCACTCGAACGAGCTCGTGTCCTTGCAGATCCAGATGAACTCGACTCGCCGTAACCGCTTCGGCGGATTGGGTCCTGAGCGCAGGTGCCAGATGTTCTTCAAGATCGACGCCCACGGCGTCACACCGATTCCGGTTCCGATCAGGACGGCGATCTCATTGTCAAAGACATCCTCGGCCGGCGCTCCGTAAGGCCCGTCGATGCGTAGCTTGGGCATTTTCTGACCGTTCTGCACCGCAATCTCATACATCCCCATCGGGTCGAGGCCCTCCAGATCCTTCGCCTGTGCAGGACCGCAACCCAGTGCGTTTCCGAGCGCGCGCGTAAAGTCACCCACTTGACGAACGTGCACGCTGATGTACGGATCGAATGGACAGGAAGTGATGGTGAAAGGATGCCACTGGGTGTTCGACACCTCGGGAACCTGAAGGAACAGCCACTGGCCGGCTTTGTACTTCATGCTCGGTTTCCGGAATTGAATCTCAATTGCATCTGTCAACGGTTAGCGATAAAAATGGAATGTCAAGATATGGAATACGTACCATATGGATGTCGGATAACTTTGGTGATTTCCGTCTCCCGACGCGCCCGGATTTCGCGATACAGCCGTTCAAAGAGATAAATTCCACCGCCCCAGAGCTCCCATCGCCAGCCCTCATAACCCAGGCAGTGGTTCCAAAAGTTCGCCCCGGCAAAGGGCGAAATGGGATTGGCCGTATCTCGAACGAAACACCCGGTTGCGTGGGTGTAAAGACCCAGCATGAACGGGATAAAGAGATGATGCGTGTACCAAAACGTCTCAAAGGACTGCTGCCGGATTCGAGCGTGGGCGGTGGTGTACATGAGCAGCATACACAGCAGCATGATATGGCCCGTGATTCCGCCGGCCTGGGTATAGTGGATCTGGATGGCGGTCTCCGGGCGAAGCTGGAGTTTCTCGACATTGAAGAAGCTAGACGCGGTGTCAGCCCAGTGCTGCGATCTTCCGTCGGGGAACTCACTTCACGTAGTGGGCAGCAGTGTGAATGATGGTAAAAATCAGCATGGCATAAGCCACCTGCCGATGGAACCATTGCGATTCGTCCAGAGGCAACCATCTGATCTTCGGTCGGATGAACCGTAAGAGATTCCTGCACATGGGCAGGAGGATCAAGGCGCCATCGAAGCTCAGCGCGAGACCCGCACCCCGTGAAATCCACACGGAGAATTTCAGCGTATTCAGAGCCGCCAATTTCTCGTCCGTCGCTTGCAGGTACCTGGAAGAAGCCGATCGTTAGATTCTCTTTGACCTTCAACCTCTCCGGTGCCTTACCATCCGACGGCAAACAGTGTGATATGGGTGCCCCAGAAGAAAAAGTAGAAGACCAGCTTGCTCTGCGCAAAATGAGAACTCCAGTCCATTTTGAAAAATGGCAAAGAAGATCAACGCGCAGGGGTATCGTATTAATCACACAGGAACTCCGTCTCTCGAATCGACCAGCGATCAACGAATATAAACGACAAGATAATTACAACGGATAGTAGAAAAACGAAAGACGTGCCCTGCTTTCGGCAAGCCAAAGCGGAGGCAGAAGGAAGAAGGTCAAAAAGAGCGCGAGAAGTCCTGGGTTGTCCTGCAATCCCGACGACTTTGCCCAGAAGTTCAGACGAGTCGAGCCGTTGCGATTAATTATGAACTCCTGGCCTCAATCGCCGTCGGGTCAGGCCACGCTCAGGACTCGAGCGCTAATGCCAAAGTCGACAATGACGCCAAGACAGCAGACTCTCCAGCTCGATGTCTCAGTACGCGATCAAAGCATGCGATGCGCGATCCCGCCAGGCGTTCTCTGGATCCACCAGGACCCCTGAAACCCTGATGGGCAGTCGACGAGCGTGTGTCAATGACAGCGGATCAAGAGCTGGGCCATCTGATTCCCATTGTTGACTAGGCGCATAGTCTGATGGTCTGTATTTGGAAATGCACGCTGGAGGAATTCGCAGAATCGGGTAAGGCGAGGTCGAGATTGACACAGGGCAGTTTGATCAAATCAACGATGCGACGATGGTGAGGACTGCGGCTCTATGCTGCTCCCATATTATCTGATAAACCGCCCAAAGGTTCGCGCTTTATGCGAGGAGGTCAGAGCGAGACTGGCGGTGGGCGGAATCTCTCTAACAGGAGGTGTCGCAGGTGAGGCGCGAGACGTGGATGCGGTTCTTGGCGGGGTACAATCAGCAGCAGCATGAAAGAGGATCAAGACAGACAATATCTACGAGCCAGAGAGAGCAAAAGGAATTGTCGACATGAGAAAGAGCTTGTCGATGTGATTTCTGGAGGAGATCGCCGTGGTGGTGGGCGTCTGGTCTAGTGGCTGGGCTGGCTGCAGGCAGGAGGGGTCAGCAACCCGATCGACTGGATGCCATGAAGACTTGTATCTCTGGTGCCTTGATCAGATAAGGCCTCCAGAGTGCATAGCCTGGTCGACTGCAGGGCTGTCAAGCTGTAGGATACTATTTCCTTCTGTCAGTCCCAGCAGAGAGGATTCCATCGCGATCGCCGTATTTGGGGAACATCTTTGTACTCCGCACGGCAGCCACTGCAGCGTCCAGTCATCGCCTTGAGTCAGCTCCTCACTAATAGTAATTAGCATGGTTCCTCTGCAAGCAGCTCCAAGTCGAATTCTGTAATCGTCGCATCTCGCTGGTTGGCGACGATCGCTGCGGGCGATCACGCTAGGCTCGGGCAGCCAGTCACGCGTCGCCTGCAAGCGCCGACAAGACTTCGACGACTTCGACCACGCAATCAGATCTCGCAGGCACAGATTCTGCAAGAGCTGCATGTATGTCCTATCTTTAGCCTGCCATCCATTGCACTGTTGACCTGCTAGGAATAGAGCCAGACTCGGAAGTTCCCCGTCCAGTGATGAAAGGAGACGCCACTGTGACCGTCACCGCCTGTTCCATCGCCCTGTACGGAGTATACACGGAAGAACGAGTCTCGTATTCACGGAGGAGGATACTGCGGGAATTCTGTTAGAAAAACCACTATACTCGAGACCCTTCATAGGACTATCTAATCAGATTGACCTCGTATAGCATGACGGCCATTGTCCCAGCCACGGCATCAGATAGCGAGCAGAGGGCCTTTTGCAGACTCCAATTCGCCCAGTACCAGACATCATGCAATGCGGAGCGACGCCTCAAACGGCAGTGGGACAGCCACGGCGTCAGTTTACCTTGGCCAGGCTAACGCAGGTTACCGCACATCTGCTGCACATCCGCCCGCACCCCTAGTCGCCGCCGTCACCGTGCACCGACCACCAGACTCCAGCCTCTGCATTGCCATTCGAGGGCGAGTGTCTGCTCTAGCGCCGATGATTTTTTAGGCTGCGTTTTCTGCAGACCACTCGTGAGGGGTTGCTGCAGTCGCGCCGTTCTTTCACGCATGAACACAGCCAGCCCACTGGCTCATGAGAAGCTCTTCACAAGGACACAGAAGCTGCCAGCGGCCCAATGGGCTTGAGAGCGACATGCAGAATACTAGACTTTGTCACCGAGTGACTCGAGCGGGGACGCTGGCTGTCAGACTTTCCATGTCTGGGCCTTCATGCGCGCCGTCGGATTCTATCTCTCTCTGTAACAGCTGTCCAAGTTATCAATCACCGCTTAGACACCCCTAATATCCTGGACATCTCGGCGTCTGTTTGAGAAGGCCGTTCTGAAGCTCGCTAGCTCCATTATTACTCCGTACTTGGCATTGATCGAGAAGACCCAAGCGGCAATTGCTCCGTGCTCTGCTCTCCGCCCCGCTGATCAATCTTATATACTTGATCATTCTCCGGAGAATCACTGGATGCATGCGTGACGATAGGAGGACAGCCAAGCGCTGCTGAGCGACGCTTGCCACGTCCAAGTTCACTGCCGTCCTTCGTCTTTCGCTGGTCGAAAGAACAGAATCAGTGTGCTCGCTGTCCGAACAAAAATCAAAGACAGGAAGCTCCTGGGCCGGCACCATGGGCAGACTCATCAAGAACCACTGGGCACGCTTGATTATCCTGTCAGCCGCAGCTTGTGAGTATTTTTTTTCTCATCGTCAGACCTTGCGGAACTGACACCCGTTGATCGCAGGGCAAGTCGGCGCCTCCATCGAAGGCTTCTTCTGGCCCAAAGTCTTCTGGGACTTTTTGACGAAGAGCCTCAACGGCGCCGTGAAGCCGATCCCGGTTCTCCAGATCATCAATCTCATCCTGGGGTTAATGGGCCTCGCGTGGGAATGGCCGCTGAAGCCGCTAGCGGGGACCCTCCCACACCGCAGCATCGTGCTCCGGCTGCTGGTGTATCCGCTCAGCGCGCTGGCGTGCGCGCTCATGTACCAGTCGGGCGACGTCGCGGTCTACTATGTCATCGGCATGGCGGTGTATTTCTGGGCTTACAGTGAGGGGGAGGTGAGTTGTCTGACAGAGATAAAGTTGGGACTGAAACTGACGATATGAATTACACAGGTTGTCTGTGCCGAGCCGTGGACGTTACCAAAGAGGGCTCCGCGTGAGAAGGTCTAAATGGAGTGCGCTGCAGGGTCAGCGCTTGGATATGGAGTTTTGAGTTTATTCGATTTGGCGAGATGTACAGCACGAAATTCTACATTCATCACCCACTCCAGTCCAGTTCCACTATTTTTAAACTCTGTACAATTTATTAACTTCCCCAAGTCCGGTCATCCTCCTCGTCCCTCCAGAGACCTCCTTGGATGAGAACTTCTCTTCCGATCTGCTACAATCTCGCAGTTCGCATTATGTATGTATGTACTATTCATTTTGATTATATATGAAGCTATGGAATCGACGATAGTTAGGATGAATTGATCGTAGATACGTGTCTCTATGGTGTACTGCCCACGGAAACATTGCGGGGTTTGTATCCGTCTCATCGCAGTGGCTGCACGAGTGTGTGAGTGTTGGCTCATTTTTACTGATAGTGATGTCCAAGCATGGGTGCATCTCATTCTCTCTCATCCGGTTTTTTTTTATTTTTTATTTTTTTTTATTTTTGTTCCAAATTGGAAGGACTGCTCTGTACTGTACTCTTAGAGCAAGGTTAATCATCGGGCCGAAGCAGCGCCGGATCCTGGCTAGCCTACGAAGCTCCTCCGCCGGTTAGGTAGTTAACTCGGTCGTACTCCGTCCATCGTGCCTTGATAAAGCTGCAAAACCGACGACGCCTTCAATTTCACTAACGAGCAGACATACAAACAGACAAACAGACAGATTCTTTCTAGATATGATGACGATGTTATAGCTCCGTCGCGAGCTACGGGACGCTACAGTTATTCTGGGCATTGGCAGGGACACAGAGAGAGAAGAGAGCTAATCGCAGGTGCTGTCATGTCCCCTTCGGACGACGTCAATTACAATAATGATGATGGTGGTGATAATGGTGATGAAATCCCTGACGACGATATGCTGGTCAACAAGAAGACCAGCTTCAACGGGAAGCTGAATAAATACTTTTACCATGTAACCAAGACGAAGGTGGACACCGTCCAGAGACCCGCAGGGAGAGTATCATCGCCAGCCATGACACAGACGCAGACACAGACACAGAAGGTCCAAGTCAAAGGGACAGCAGAACCAGGCGACGCGACAGGAATAATAATAGGACGGCGCGTCACTCGCTCCCAGTCCTCGCGATTGTCCACTGCATCCTCGTCCCCCTCCGAAAACAACACTCCAGCAGCAGCAGCTTCTCTCAGCTTACCTCCTTCTAAGCGAGACTCGTCATCATCCTCTTCCTCGCCCAAGAAGAAGAAAAAACGCCTCTTACGAACCGAAGAAAAAGACCCCTCCTTCTCCCCTCCCTCCCGCCTCCGCGACACCATCCCGCCGAACCTGATCCTCCTCCTCGTCGGAGTGAACCCAGGCCTGATGACGGGCGCGACGGGGTTCGCGTACGCGCACCCGTCGAACCTGTTCTGGAAACTGCTGCACTCGTCCGGCATCACGACGGTGCGGCACCCGCCCAGCGACACGTACCGGCTCCCGGAGCTGTACGGCGTCGGCAACACCAACATCGTCGAGCGGCCGACGCGCGACGCGAGCATGCTGAGCAAGGCCGAGATGGACGCGGGCGTGCCCGTGCTCGAGGCCAAGATCGCCGCCCAGCGGCCCGAGGCCGTCGGCCTCGTCGGCAAGAGTATCTGGGAGGCTGTCTGGAGAGTCAAACACGGGCGGCCGATCCGCAAGTCCGAGTTCCGCTACGGATGGCAGGATGAGAGCGAGAATATGGGCAGGACGGCCGACTGGCCTGGCGCGCGCGTCTTTGTGGCCACGACGACGAGCGGCTTGGCTGCTACCATGAGTCTGGCTGAGAAGCAGGCTGTATGGAACGAGCTAGGGCGGTGGGTGGTCCAACGGAGGGAGGAGAGAAAAGCTGCTGCTGCTGTCGCTGCCAGCGGTGATTCAGATGCTTCCGCTGTGACTACTCCTGTCTCTGTGCCTACTTCGGCGTCTCCTTACTTTGCGAGTACCAAAGACGATTCTACAAAGTCGTGATGGTGCATTGTAACACCAGCACCAGCACCAGCTGTTCGACTCGAGGATCTGGAATCCTCTCACGGAAGACCAAAAAAAATTTTTAAGATAATTACGGCGATAATCAGCCGATTCTTCGTTGGTTATATGTTTTTGTCGCACTATACCCGGATGCACTTGCTAGGTAGAGAGTTTCTTGAAATCTACTCAGATGGTTAGGCCTATATCAGGGAATATATAAGCAGACACGCGATCTCTCAGTTCTTTGACAGTGGTTTATATCATTCATATCATTCATATTGGTAACAAAATGCTAATATATATAACTTGACTAATCATACAGTCAGCACCCCGAAGTAAGTCATATTCAATCCACTTGCTTCCCCTTTCCTTTTACCCTTGGCATCAGCATCATGTCAATCGTAAGTAAGTAAGGAAGGAACAAGATTCAGTTCACGACCAAGGCACGGAAAAGAAAGAGGGAGGACCTCAAGACCAGTCTGTCACGGTAAAACTGTAGCTAGCCATCATTATAGACTCCAGAGAGGATGCGGATCGGGCAAAGGTAAGCAGACGAGACGAAACGCGTGTCGTGATGATATGCTGACTTCCTGCTTACTTTCTTGTCAACCCGACATCCTCATCACCTTTTTCCCTCATGGGGGTAGAGCGAGCGAGCGAGCGAGTGAAAGAGAGACACTGACTCGGCCCTTGGTCCTCTCTTTTCCCTCATGCCGGAATCGATCCCGGCCAGTAGCACCAGGCTATTTATCCCTTTCCGGAAGAAACAGGTCCATTAAGGGGGTTCTTATCTGCCTGGCGTTCCCAGTTCTGTTTGCAAAAAAAGGCAAAGTCATCATCAGCTCAGAAATCGAATATCGTTTCCCCTCATCAAAGAGGACTTAGAGAAAGGGGATCAATCTCTCACAGTCGTCTCCTGAACTTCTCCCCTCTCGAGAATCTGCTGAATGCAGTCTTCTTCCCGGTGAGTGCCGAACTCGTTGTCCAGCATGGCTTTGCTGGCGTTGTCTAGCACGCCCTGGGCTCCGTGGCTGCAGCAGTCGCGTTAGCTACATGTTCTCTCTCCTCTTGATCATTCCTGCGATCAGATCAACATGGACCAACAACATACCGATGCGTGACGAAGATCTTCCACCCGTTCAAGATCTGCTGAAGCGGCACCGAGCGATCCTTGCGCCATCTGTGGACGGCAGGCACGTCGTCGACGAAGATGACAAAGTCGTCGAACTTGCCCTTGTAGTACACCTTGGTGAAGTTGTCGTTTCCGCGAGGCATGATGGCTGGAGGACTTCGTTCCTAGCAGACGACCGGCTGTCAGAATATAATCTCCTTTCAGAATAGGAGGAGCGTGGTGATGGATGACGTCTTCTGGTCGCGTGATTGTGAGGATGAGGCGGAAGAGGTGTATAGGGCTTCCGTACTGAAATCAGCGCGTCTGGATGAAACGGTTGTATCTGTAGAAATCAATTGAGTTTATATTCTGGATGGTAATTCAGCAAAGATTGCCGTGAGCAAGAGAGCCTTATGTAGGGAGCTTTGCGCCCTCATCATGACGGAGTCTCACCTCCACTGCCCGCCTCGGCGGAACGTCGACGTCATAGGGTTCCGCCATCTGCGGAGGAGCTCCAGGGACTGCATACGTCCATACAAAGTGCACAGCCTACGTCTTCAGCCATTCTCCACGGAAATTCTGGAATCTCATGATTCGTTGCAGCTGACAAGATACTTGGCGATCTAATCCTGAAATACGAATAATAATCCTCCAAACGAAGGTTTTGCCTCTGCCGGCCCATCCTTGGCGGATCCTCCCTCTCCGCACTCCCGCTCTCTCGGTCATGCTCGATTACGTCTTCCATCCAAAAGCTCCAAGCCACGTCCTGCCCCACCTAGTCGAAAGCACGAGAATGAGCAGGTGCATTCGATGAGTAAGATTCTAGAAAACTTCCCAAAGAGATACTTACATGGTACTGCGATTATCCTTCACTGCTGTCTCGTGCGCTGCTTCTGCGACTGGGAGAGAGCGAACTGAAGAAGGCCAACGGTGAGGTCCACCGCTTCCATGGTATGGACCTTCTCTTGCTCCTCAGCTTCGTGTCGCTTGTCCTGTATGCGATAAAATCCGAACTGGCTCTCATGACATGTCTCATACTCTGGAATGCTTTTGTGGGCGCATGTCGCATAGTCTCAGGTGATCTATCGGATGCCCCCTTGTCGGCGCCCGGCTCCTCTCCCAGACACACCACCTCCCGCAGAGGATAACATGGCACCGCCTCTTTGTCAAACAAATCATCTTCGTCTTTTGTGTCACTCCCGGCCTCGATGGACTTGACGGTGCCCTTGCTGATGGAGCTGGAACGCCGGCTGTTAAAAGGGGTGCGGAAAGAAAGTCCTCGCATCAGCGATTGCGTCCGCAGATAATCAGCTCGAGTGACGAGCATGCCAGGATATGGAAGAACATCCCGGGTGAATATGTCGGCGATGCTCCGTTCCAACCTGACTCGATCCTGCCTCAGTGGAGCAAGGACCGTGGGAGAATTCTCTCTGGCGACGGATCGAGACCGTTGAATCCCGCCTTCATGAAGCTGCCGAACATCTTCGTCATGGAGCGGATTGTGTGTCTTCTTGATAATCACGCGCTCGAGGTGGCGTTTCACACTCGAGCGAGTGGACATAGATCGCGTGGATGGTCTCCGAGCAAGGACTGCCAACGGGCTGTCAATGCGACCCAAAGGAACCAGAGAGAGGGATAACAGGAAGAGTCCTCTTGGCTCCAGTGATAAGGTTGGCAGTGCACTCGGCGACATGGCCGACGCTCTCAGCAGTTCAGTCTTCCAATGCCTCTCTTCAGTTGCCGATGAGGCGCTGAGGATCAGCTCATACCGATTTTGGTCATCCTGGAAGATAATCTTCCAAGAATATGGCGCATCGTGGCAAACAAGACCTTCTCCGAATCAGCACGAGATCGTGTCATAAAGAAAATTGACCTTTACCTTGGCCGTTGGAGAGGATGTCGACAGTCATATCCAAAACGTACAGCGACGCAACTACACTCAATTTGCGGTTCTCATACCCACCTCTTGCAAGGACCAGGTAACTAGGAAAAAGGATACAGATCATATATTCGCCTGTGATTCGATCGGTTGACTTGTAGGCGACATGAAGAACACCGCAAAGGTTCAGGGGGCCTAGCTGTTGATAGACATCGTGAAGAACGCTCTGTGGGGCGCGATTAAAATCCGGTATGGATATCCCTATATCATGAACGGAAACTCACCTGGCCACTATAATCCAACCGCCCGTGCAAAATGACAGTCTTGTGAATCCGATCCTTGAGTACGGGGTTGCCAGTGGCAGTATTGATTTGACCCACAATCCGGCGCACTTTGTCTAAGATCTGACGGATTTCATAATGAGTTGATGGGCAATCACTGGCCGGGGTAGTCTTGAGCAATTCCTGGAGTAACAGCTGATATTTGCACACTCGTTGAACGGGCTAAAGGGACAAAGTCAGCGCACGTCTGGACAGTTCTCCAAGCTGCCAAACCTTAATGAGGAGATCCTCGATAGTCATGGACTTCTTGTTGCCCTGCTTGCGACTATCAGTCGATTCCACTGACTTTGCCAAAGCTTCAATTCCGTGAAACCAAAAGCCACCGGCAGGAACTGATTTGCGCAGAAGGTCCATGTCTTCGTAGAGTAAATCGTATTTACTGCAGAAATCTTCGTAGGCCCCAAAGCCTTCAGACTGCACCTCATGCGGTCAGACCAGCCATATTCAGCCTCCATTGATTTTCTTACCAGCTTTTCGAGCTCTTGAGCGACTTTCAAAGCCTCCGAAGGTTCAGCTGTCGCCCGTTTCAATCGAGAATCTATTGTCGCCTTGAGATTACGAGTTCGCAGAGATTGACTAGGAGATTTTTTGAAGCGTGGCAGATCTCTCAATTTTTCCTGCAGTCCATGAAGCGTCGATATCTCCGCCGGAGGACTTTCCACGGACAAGGGGGTGACGAGTTGCAGCCGCTCCTTGAAATTTTCATGCATTTGCAGGAGCCGCTGTACATCCTGGTAGATGGCCGGCCTCGTCGTCAGCGACGCGGAGAGAATCTAACTCGTTGAACCAGACGTCAGCTCTTACTGAAAGTCATGGGGCTAGGAGGACTAACTTTACTCAATGTCTGTAGACCATCAACGTAGTTCGATTCGGAGATGAAGATCTCATGCAAGACATGACGTCGTCTACCTGCACGGCTCCTGACTGCGTTCTCCATGGACGAGGTGGTCCGCCTGACACTTTCACCGGACCGTCGCATCTCAAAGCCGGATAGATTGTCGCTCTGGGACGCACTCTGATGGCTACTATGCGTGTTCGCCCTCGATCGGGTCGCGAAACTCTGGGTTGCCAGGCTCATGCTAGCAGTTTTGACGGTCCCCAAGATGGAGGACGAGCCACCAGACAGCCGGTCCCATTGTTGGTCTTGTAGAGGAGGTGATGTACTAATCTCGGTGTCGTTGGTCACTGTCGAAGGCTCGTCGAACCAGCCCTCGACGTACACTTCTGGAATTCGGGAAACACGTTTCTTGGACCGGAAGCTGTCCATCCACTTCTTGAAGGGATAGTTGGTACCAGCACCTGCAGGAGTTGTGGTGTTTTCCACATTGAAGGATCCTTCTTTATTGAGAGCTGGAGGATTCATCCGGAGGGTTGAGTCCTGGCATACATGCACCTCCTCTTCTTCAGTCTCCTTCCCCATGACCTCCATGGCAAAAGACGTGTCGAGAAAGCTGGAGAAGACACATCATCAACAGTGAGGAGTGTAAACAGTATCCGCACGAGCTCTAAGTCACATATGGCAACAACGACCAACGGCGTGTTCACCAGGAAGGCACGACCGTGGAGGAAGAGGCAGGATTGAGCCAATGGCCAGCCATGATGCCAACGGAGAATCGTCCAGTAATTCACTGTCCATGAAAGAGCAAAGAAAGCTGTATAAAACAGAATGTGCTTGGATTTCACAGCCCAGTGATTGTTCTGTGAGTTCTTGCTATGGGGTGAGTACATGACATACATGTACTGCACATAATATTTCAGTTGCTCTTCTAGCCATATTGCCATCTGAAGGCCATCGATCTGCATCCTTCGAAAATTGTTGTAAATGAATTGTCATTTTACTCTCCTAGAAGGACATTGTATAGAAGCTGGCCTCGGGATGGACTACCAGTAGTAGCCTTAGTAAAGCGTATAATTTATTCGCAGCGCCAACGCGGCGGCACTGCGGCCGCTAAGCCGCCCAAGCTCAGCTGCCCCAGATATGCGGACGCGCCGATGCAGTTCCGCCTTCCCCTCATCAAACTCGTCCCCGAATTTTGCCCATCGCTTTTGTTGATGATGACTCCATGACACCGTGTATTTTCTGATATGGGCAACCCTATGGATGATAATATTCACGCTCCCACTGTCCCCTCCGGTCCTAGGTCCGGGGGGGCGGGCTTCAAAGACCTGTCGAAACTGTCGATGGTCGAGCTCATGAACGAAAAGGAACGCATAGAAGCTGAGCTTTCGGCTCTCAGCAGTGTTTTGACCTCTGTGAGTGCTCTATTGAAATCAGATCGCATCGCAGAATTTAGACTGACATCATCTTCTCCAGCATGGAGTCGACATGAACACACCCCTCCTCACACCAGACGGATTTCCACGCAACGATATCGACGTAGCACAAAGTATGTTCCGGATTACCTTATCTCTTCGAGATTCATTTTCTAAAGCCCTTTAATTCAGTACGCATCACTCGAGCGCGGATAATACACCTCCGAAATGACCACAAAGAAGTCATGAAGTATTTGGAGAAAGGTCTCCATGCGCATTTCGAAGCCCTCCGACAGGCTCAGGGTGCTCCTACGGGAGATCCTGCATCCACATCTACGACTGCACCCACATCTACATCTGTACCCGCATCTGCGTCTGCATCCACATCTACGTCTCAACCCCAAATCACTCAGGAGACCTCTACATCGCAGGCCGGAATGGTGGAGACTCCGTTCGCAAGAGTTAATAGCGTTGCGAGTGGAAGCCCAGCCGATCGAGCTGGCTTGAAAGCGGGAGACACGATCCGCAGCTTTGGAGGCGTCAACTGGGTGAATCACGAGCGTCTTACGAAAATCGGGGAAGTTGTACAACAGAACGAGGGAGTACGAAACCACTTTTATTCTACGGGACTGCTGAATCCAGTCGCTAACGAGCATGCAGCGCGCCATCGTTGTCAAAGTAATACGGAAGAACGAATCTGGTCAAGGGACCACAGAGCTGAGCCTAACTCTTGTTCCTCAGCGCAACTGGGGTGGCCGCGGCCTGCTTGGTTGCCACCTGGTTCCGTTGTAACAGAGTATCGGCGTTTGACAACTTCTTGTACCTTTGGAGCATCGTTCACAACGTTGGGAAGGTCTTGTAATGAAAGTAGCATTCAGGCGTTAGAACGGTCGGGTAGCAATTTAGGGATTTTATGCGTTAGATATTAGATATTGTTTACCAAGTTAATGCGCCATTTACCAAGAGGCCGGGAGCGACGTCATCCGGCTGCAGCCTTCGGAGCGTAGATTTGGTAAGCGAGCGACAATTGGCAGACAGGAGGCCACCAGCAAAAGAAAAGGAACGAAACGCCTAAGGCAGAGCAGAATGGCATCATCAGCGCAGGCGTGTTTACTCCGTACGGAATACCGGACTGGCGCGTCTCGCCTTCACTAACCGACTTGGTAGGGATCGCAGGCGCCGGCTGAGGGGCTCCAAAGGAGGGGCAAACTCTGCCCTGTCACGTGACGCAGGCTCACCCGCTCGTTTGTTGTCACCGCCGAAAATTCCATCGCCGGCCCAACATCACCAAGGAATTTCTTTCCTCCTCAACCCTTGCGTCCACGATCCTCGTGTTACGCCCTTTTCTGAGTCTTTCGACACCCGCATCGCCGGTTTTCCCGCGAAGCGTTTCTCTCCATCCCTTCGATACTTGTTGGGAAGTTCTCTAATCCCGTCACATAATCACCATGGCAGCACCGCAGCAGCAAGCCCCACCAACCTTCAAGCTCGTCCTTGTCGGCGACGGTGGTACTGGAAAGGTGAGTTGTCCTGACCCTGGTCGCCTGTTTCATCGCATCAGAATGTTCTTCCACCACGGTAGACGGCGACTACGATCTCGTGGCCCCTCGCTGGCTCGATGCGACCGGCTTTCCGTCCGTGTGGACAGAGACACATCTCCCTCATCCTGCGTTGTTGATGTTTTTATCGCGCAAGAGGGCATCGCTAACATTTGCTTTTTCATCACGACAGACCACCTTCGTCAAGCGCCACTTGACTGGAGAGTTCGAAAAGAAATACATCGCCACCCTGGGTGTTGAGGTTCACCCTCTGGGCTTCACTACGGTACGTCGTGCCGGCCTCGCCTCACCTTTTTTCTGTCTTGGTCAGATTGACTGACTGACACTGGTGATATAGAACTTGGGTCCCATCCAGTTTGACGTGTGGGACACCGCTGGTCAGGAGAAGTTCGGTGGTCTGAGAGATGGATACTACATCAACGGCCAGTGTGGTATCATCATGTTCGATGTCACGTCGCGTATCACCTACAAGAACGTTCCCAACTGGCACCGTACGTCGATCCCTGGCGACACAAGTCAAAATTGGGAGTTGGAGCTGACTTGGTTTTGTAGGTGACCTGGTTCGTGTCTGCGAGAACATCCCCATTGTCCTTTGTGGCAACAAGGTCGATGTCAAGGAGCGCAAGGTGAAGGCCAAGACCATCACTTTCCACCGCAAGAAGAACCTTCAGTACTACGATATCTCGGCCAAGTCCAACTACAACTTCGAGAAGCCTTTCCTGTGGCTGGCTCGGAAGCTCGTCGGCAACCAGTCTTTGGTAAGTTCGCTTTGCGTGCTTTTTTCCTATTTTGGCGTCCTTTTCTGGCACCCTGCTTACATGACACCAGGAATTCGTCGCCGCTCCTGCCCTTGCTCCTCCCGAGGTCCAGGTCAACCCCGAGCTTCTCGAACAATACCAGAAGGAGATGCACGAAGCTGCCCAGCAGCCTCTGCCTGATGAGGAGGACGCTGACCTGTAAACGGGATGTACTTGTTCGACGGACTGGAGAAAAATAAATAATAAACAAGAAAAAAAAGAATACATTATTTGGACAATTACACAGAAAAAAAAAGAAGACATGGACGATTGACACGATCGATGATACAAACAAGCAAGCAAGCTAAGACTCTTCTAAGAGAGGATCAGGTTTGGGCGGAAAGGCGGGGACGGCCACTTCTACATTAAATGAACTGCATTTTTTTCTCTTTTTTCCTCATCATATTTTTTTTTCCCTCTCCTGTTGATGATGGTGATGGCAAGTAGTTTAAGCTAGGCTTCTCACTTAGACTTTTTATCCTCATGACTCGCTCGCCCCTGCTTCTTCCACCACCACCTATTCCTCCGCAGCAAGCTCAACTCACTCATACTCAAAACTTTTTCTTCTTTTTCTTAATTTTATTTCACCTATCCTATCTATCTATGGTATGGTATGGTATGGTACGGTATGGAAAGAAATGAATGAGACTGAGACTGACTGATCGCATAATATTGATTCATGCGATGCGATAGATGCGATACAAGAATGAAAAGGTGAAATTTACCCTCGACGATAAATAAATAAATCAATAGATAAGCAAGCAAGCACGCAAAGCACGTGTCAAGCTCGTTAGAAGATAAATAAGTAAGTAAATAATGAAAGTAGATAAAAAAATAAATATGAATAGAATAGATTAGATTAGTTATTACTATCTTTTTTCCTTTCTTTTCTTTTTTCATTTGTTTTCTGTTTTTTAGACAGAAAAAGAAAAGTACTTCAAGAAAAGACAATTTTTTTTTTGTTTTTGTTTTTTTTTTTCTTAGAAGACCCCGAAACCAAAACCGAAACCGAGAGGAAAGAAAGAAAGAAAAGAAAAGGATGGATGTCGTAGTATCGTAGAAGAAATATGTAAATGAATGAATGAATGATAAATGAAGGAATAAAAAGAAAAGAAAAGAATGATAATGGGGAAGAAGATTTTTTTTTTTCATACTCGTACATTCATACATACATTCATTCATTCATTTAAGTTAAGGTCTTAATTAAGAAAATAGGAAATAGGAAATTAAATTTAAAAATAAATTTTTTTTTTTAAAAAAAGAGTAGGAATAAGAATAAGAACATGAATAAGAAAATGTAAATGAACAGCTCCGCTGAGCGAAAATTAAAAAAAAAAGACGCAGGTTTAGTTTAGTTTAGGTATGTATGTACACTACGCAGCAGGCTCATTTCTCATGTTTGAGTTGAATAATCTGTATTAAATCTGTATTAATTAGGAGGATCGTGTGCCTTGTGTCTGTGCCATTGCCATGGACAGGGCCAGGTCCGGAGCCGGAGCCAGGGGTATCACAGGTGTTGCGCAACCAAAGGGGTTAAAAAAAGGGAAAGGAGAAGAAGAATAAGAAGTTTTCCACCGATTAAAAGGACGTATGTACTTACTGTACTGGGGGGAACAAAATTAAATACCACACTCTGCTTATGTAGGACCAGACCGACGCCACTAGGTATGCTTTGTATGTATCTAACCCGATGTATGTATGCATTATGTACGCTATTTCGTTGCCATGAAAAGGAAGCAAAAGGAAAACGAGACGATCAAACCGAGGGGTATAAGTCCAATCCTATCACGACAAACCGAATCGGAACGAAACGAAACGAAATGCAACGCCAGAATAGTAGCACAGTAGCAAATAAAAAGATTGAGGAGAAAAGTCTCTCTATCCGATTGTCGATTAATCGATTCCCTGTACAAACACAGATGTTAGTAACTTGTAGACCCAAAAAAGAACTAGAAAAAAAGAGAGGGTTTCCATACGAATAGAAACTTTAGTTCCCTCTCTCCCAGTCGCGACACTCGCTTCCCCGCCGCCTCGTCCAGAGCACCCTCGATCAGCTCGCGTTTCTTCTCCTGCAACGCCAGAATGCGGTCTTCCACCGTCTTCTTCACCAAGATGCGGTGGACACGAACCGGCCGCGTCTGCCCAATCCGATGTGCCCGATCAACGGCCTGGTCTTCGATGTACGGATTCCAGAACGGGTCGAAGATGATCACTTGCGACGCAGCCACAAGATTCAGACCCGAGTTGCCGGCTTTCAACGACACGAGCATGATCTTGCAATCTGGGTTGTCCGTGAATTCCGCAACCGCATTATTCCGGTCTGCGGGCTTCATGCTGCCATCGTAGCGTCGGTAACCCCAGCCCTTCCGCATGATCGGCACTTCGAGAAGATCCAGAAGCGCCGTAAATTGGCTGAAAATAATCGTCTTCTCACCCTCCCCGGCATCCTGAATCTTCTGCAAGAGTTCCATTGTCTTGTCGACTTTGGCACTGCTAGCCCAATTCTTCTGCAAGCGGCGGAGATACTTGCGTTTTGCCGCCGCATTCTTTTGTGCTTCTTTCTTCAGCATTGCCAGTGTCTTTTTGGGTTTGCTGCGCTCCTTTCCCTTGCCCTTTTTGTCCTTCTTCTTGCCTTTGGAGGATGATTCTGCGGGCTCATCAATGTAGTCATCAGGAACAATAAAGTCAGACAGGCTGCCACTATCGTCGTCACTATCGCTCTTCTCATCCGAGTCATCGTCGTCGGCATCGTCCTGCTCCCCTTCGACCGTGTCAGGGAAGTGAACCTTCTTGAAAGACGCATTGTCCGTGACCTTTTTCGGGTCGATTTTGGTACGACAGTTGGGGCATTTTACTTCCACAGTGCCATCGTTATTGCCCTGCTGAATAGCCAGCGCCGGGTCTGAAATCCGGGCAAAACACTCCGCGCAAGTGCTATGGCCACAAGGGAAGAAAATAACCGGGTTTTCCACCCCGTCAATGCAAACGGGACACTCCAGAGGTTCGTTCTCCTTTAGGCGCTGAACCACATCGGCACTAAACGCCTTCGCGTTTGCTATCAGGTCAATTTCTCCCGTGGCAGCACTGACATCAACGGCGAAGTCGTGTATCAAGTGCGGGTGGCAACACGCCTGGCGGAGTCGAAGAAGCAACACCAGAATGTTGGAATAATTCCGACCAATAGTCCCAGCGTTAAGATACTTGTTGAACTGGAGTTGAGTCTTGTTCTCCAATGCGTCGTAGAACGCTTGCTCATCTTCGCTGAACACGGCGTGGACTTCCTCGGTTATTCGGGGCGGCAACTGCAGAATTGGTCTTCCGTCAATCTTGGAGGTTTTCGTTCGGCGGAGAAGAACAGCCTTCAGCAAAACCTGCAACTGTTGCAATGCCTTCTGGTGCACTCTCTCGTCTCCAACCTTCAATGGTTTCGTGAAGTCCTGGAAAATGAGAACCATTAGGAAAAAGGGCCAGCCAACGGAAATACCTTATAGAGAATTCCAGCTTACCTTGTTAAACTGCTCCAAATCGGAATATGGTCGGATACGTAAGAATTTCAGCAGGGAATGTAGCTCCGTCACATTGTTCATCATGGGAGTGCCGCTCATGCACCATCTATAGATGGCATTGATGCTGCAACAGGCCACTGCAGCTTTCGTGTTGCGATTCTTGATGCATTGAGCTTCATCGATGATCACGCGATACCAGGCGCTCTTCGGCCCAAGAACAGGAAGACCAAACTGCTCCGCAGTGATGTTGGAAGAAGTATGCGCGGCAGCTTGCTGCGTCTGAAGCCATTCTTCTTTACGCCTGAGCTCCGATGCGAGCGTCCCGAAGGTTGTGAGAACCACGTCGAATTTCTTCAGATAAGTAAAGTCGACACCTCGCTTTTCGCCATGTAGAACATAGACGGAGAGCTGGTGTCTTCCCGGTTTGAGCATTCTCGTGATTTCCCGCTTCCACTGCTGCATCAAAGCCACTGGCGCAACAATAAGATTGGTTTTCCGATTCGGGTCGGACGATGGCCGCGAAACCATGAGCGCAAGAGCTTGTATGGTCTTTCCCAACCCCATATCGTCGGCTAGAATACCACCTTTGTTCTTGCCTTCTTCCATCGACTTCATCCAAGTCAACCCGAGTTTCTGATGCTCCAGTAAAGGATACTTCAAAGGCTCTGGGGTTCCTTCACGACTTTCCTTTGGAATTTCAGCATCAGCTCGAAGATTCTCCAGCAGTTCCTTGATCTCCTCAGTAGTCTTCTTGTTGTCATAGTCAGACAGATAGGACGGATAGAGTTCCCTGTACCGGGCCCAAGCAGGAAGATCATATCCAAGGCTTGCAAACGGATCGCCGCAGGTAGGACCAATGCTTGAAAGAGGTGAATCTGGGAAGTTATTGTAAAGCGATTTTCCTGCATTGAGCTTGTCCAAACCGTTCATGTATGGGTCTTGTTGATACGTGGAAGAAGCTTGAGGTTTGAGTTGACCGGTTTCTTGAACCGAGTTGTAACGGTTCGTTATCGCGGTGGAGGAAGACTCTCCCAGTGACCTCGGGAAAGTTGATGGGAAAGAAGTTCTACCACCAGCCAGAATCGTTTCCTCGCCCCGAGACCCAGCATTAAGCCATGAATAATTGGTGTTCGGTCTGGGCGGTGGTCCCATGGAGACGCGCTGCACACTGCGATGGAAATCTAATGGGCTGATCTCGGCTACATCACTATCGCTGCTGTCTGGGGTGGAAGTTGACGGAGCAGGCAGTGAGTTAAGCTGGTGAGAACCCATGAACGAACGGCGGAAAGAAGGTGTAAAAGGAGGCTGTGTGGTTGGCGGCAGTGATCGATCTCCAGTTGTAGGAAATCCAGAATAATCCCGTGCAGGGCCAGGTGGTGGCGGCATTGTTCCAGAGCCTGATTGTCCTCCATAGCCAGGACCCGAAGAGGATGCCGAGGATGGACGAGATGATTCATGCCACCACTCCTGAAGGGCCCTCGCATACTCCGCATCGCGACGTTCTTGTTCCTTGCGCTCTTCCAACCACCTCTCCGCCTCCATTTGTTCGCGTTGCATGGCTAAGAGAGTGTCACGACTATCAAACCCTAGCAACCTCTGCAGCTCTTCAGTACTCCCATCCAAGGAGCCGGGCCTCTCTCCCAAACTATGCACCGACGAAGCACTTGGGGTAGAGGGACGGGATTCGAAGGAGGTAATTCGCTTCGACGACGGTCCTGAGGGTTCGCCCAACGCCGCAGATCGATGCGAGCGCTTTCGACTGTGTAACGACTGCGGAAACCGAGAGAAATCCGGGGAGGAGGAACGATAAGACTGATGGGACGGGGAACGTCTGAGCACTGTCGACGTCGTGTCAATATCATTTACGCTGCCCCAGATGTTGCCCCAGAATGGCGGGCTCTCTTCTCTCCCATCCGATGGGCCATCCAACTGTGAAACGACTGGGGTTGACGTAGCAGTACGCGATGAGGAGGGACGAGAAGACTCGCCACGACAGCGGGCCAACTTCCGTTCCAGCTGTCTTATCGTCTCTTGCAGTTCTTCCCTTTCTTCGACTGCTCCCGGGCGCGATTCTATGAGACTCTGAAGTAGGGCTTGATGTAGTTGGAGGTCCTCCATGATGTCCTCCACGGACGTGCCCCCAGGAGTGGTTCCCATTGCGCCCTTTATATGCGCGCTGTCCGGTCAGCCTGCGACAGTGAATGAATGACGGGCACGCCCAGCAAAGGAGAGAACTCTCCGCCGCAGCCTGGTAGGTGAAAGCCGGAGAAGGCTCCAAATACCCAATCCCCGGCCCTCAATGAAGGGATCTGGCGGAAGAAGCCGTCGTTGCTCGCGTCACCTCTGTCAGGTTTGTCAACCTCGCGGGCTCCTAGACGGTTAGATCGAGAGGCTAAATTGGCCTGCCGCGCGCTGATTGGACGGTAGCGCAGAGCCTCCTTCTTGTCAGGCACGGGCCGGGCGTAAGGCTGCCCCACCGATCACTAGCCAGGAGTCAAGAGAGACAGTAAAATATCAGAAGCCTGGCCGGTGATGCTTTTATGGCCTGTGGTGTGTTTGCACAGAGGGATCGGGCGCAAGCGGCTGGCAGCAGACGTGACAGATGATTCTCTTCCTTGCTCCTTGCTTTTTCTTTTTTTTTTTGTCTGACAATGAATCGTGCCACGACAAATGAGGCGAGAAGCCTCAGTTCTAGTACATGCACAGGTATGGATTTGGCCAGAGAATGCTGGATTTATGTTGCTCTCTCACCATCTCCTCGATTTTACGACTCTAAAGAGACACAAATGGGAGTATGTATGATGTAGCCTGACGTGGAACCAAAGGGCTTGCTTGCTGCAATAGAGAAAGAGGGTGAGGCGTATTTCAAAACTACCTACCTGGTACTCTATCACCAATGTACCAATCAGGGAACAGACAAAAACAAGGCTTACACGCTCAGCTCTCATCGAGAGCCAGTGATACTACGAAAACCCTGTCTATGCATTCCATGCCAGCTCATTCAGTAGTATTGGGGGTTCGAACTAGGGATATTCACAGAGCATCTGTGGTTAGCTGCGCTCTATATTCTTTGTTTCTCGGTTCGAGGTGAAAGAAAGAGAGTGAGTGCCACGTGAACATCAAGTGAGAGATCAAGCAGTCACCAGCAGCAACTCAGACTGTTGAGCAGCTCGACAGGTTCCAGGTCTTTGGAACAAATAGCCTATCGCCCCACACAGTCTGGGGCACTATGCTTGTCTTTTCTGGGGAATCTGTCTCAGCTACTGAATCTGGCTTGTCATTCCTCTTCAGAGAGCGAATGATTAAGCTTACGTCTTCTCGAATCCTCGTATACTCAGGTAGTATTCATCCCACTGTTAACCGCTATCGATAAGCATAGAAGATGCCAGAAACCCCCAAGGCAGCCAATCCGGCACTCTTACGCGCAGGGAACGCGTCTAGGCGCGTCTCGAGACGCGTAAATGAAGCCGTGTCGCGAGCACAGACCTCAAATCCGGTCATCGCATCGTCTGACTGGCCGGGATTCTTCTTGGCAGAAGCGAGGCAATACTCCGGAGTACTGTCGCGCAGACGCGCTTCGCAGGACGCGCTCCTGCAGACTCGGAGCAAAAACCAGAGATTTCTAAATTCTAACCCAGGATTGGTCCCGACTTGCAGCTGGCGTTTCAAAACACCGTCCATTGCTATCGCGGCAAACCAGCGGTGAGCCCGGATTCCTCCCCCCGGGCCCGGCTTATCGCATCCAAGTTCCAACCCCTCGCCCGGGGTCATGGCCTGGGGCCATTCATCACGTCGAGATTGCCCGTTCGCGAGTCGCGACCCGTGATTCTTTATTTTTCTCGCGATGCCCTAATGCAGTGCAATGAATTTGCTTGTTCTAGTTAACCTTAGACTGCTTCTCCCCAGCGAATCCTTTTGTTTCCCCTCCTCGAAGATGAGTCACACCAGGAGAGGTTGGGGTGGGAAGGAGGGGAGAGACTTGCGAGTTGCTTGGTTCCTGGCATATTATTGCTAGTTAGCAGGTGGTGCATTTATTATTTGTGTCGTAGCTACCTCTATTATTATTCCCTAAGAGTTGAAACGAAACGTTATTGTATACCACGCTATTATCGCATTCACCGTTGTATTTGAATTTCGTGTTTGATATTGGGTAGTTAAAGTATCAGGATACTTCTCATATTGGCTGCTGTCAACTTCATCTAGTTAATATAAATCTTTCAACGGCATCATAATTTGAACCAGATTACATCCGCACAGTGCAGTGGAGAGCGATTGTTTACGAGGTCTTTTTTACTTTTTCTTACCATATCAGTTGGGAACTGCTCCCGCAGTCGCCATGAGACATTGCTACAATGGCGCCCAGATCAGCCTTCACTCGATTCTGGCGGACAGATCTTACTCGAGATGGCTTCCTGAGCCTTCTAGACAAAGACGACCTCCGGGCCCTTCGCCTCGTGAACCATGACTTCAGTGTGCACGCGGCTCGCTATCTGTTTGCCGAGATTGAAATCTCATTCCGGAGCAGCACTTTCACTCGTCCTGCTCGCATGGCAGCGTTGGAACGCATTGGCCGTCATGTCAAGACCCTTACGTTCAAGATCCCACACTCCCAGGAGACCTTCCTCCCTCCGCTGCTGGACCCTATCACCGGGGAGGAGCAGACCTTTGTGTATATCCCGCAGGTCCATGTTTCCAGCAGTTTAGCCTCACGATGGAGCGAGCCCAAGTATGGGAGCTGGGAGATGACTGACCTGTTGGTCAAGCAATACCCACCCCTGTTTCATGCGGCGACCAATGTTCCGTCGTTTGTGCGGGCCTTTCGCTGCATGCCGTCCCTACGGCATCTGAAGATTTCCTGTGACGGACAGTCACCAGACCACCGGTACCGCCGGAGCGTGGTAGACTATGCTCTCATCTCCCTGCGTGTGGCTGTTGAGCAGGCTCCGCTGGAGTCGCTGGACACATTGTCACTCCTCCCCATTCATCCCGGTGGCATCCTCTATCTCCGACCGATGATGGGATTCGGCGCATCTCCTGCGGGTCGCAAGCGCTGGATGCAGATTCGGAAGCTGGCCATACACATGGAAAGCTTTCCTTACGAGCGTGGCCAGACGATGGATCATCTCAGACTGCTTCATTCATATCTGGAAGGGTTTCCGAATCTCCGGAGCTTCGTCTTCCGCTGGAAGGGGCTCAAAGGCCCGAGTCCTCTGTCGCTCGCAACGGAGCCATGCCTCTGCCAACCGTCATCCAAGAAGACGTGCTCGATGAGATATGCGCGACCCCTGAGACCGCTGAAGTTCAGGCACTTGCGCTACATGGAACTGGAAAATGCGATCATGGACGCATCGCAGGTAGCTGCCTTTATCATGGACCACCGGCGCACGCTGAGCGAGTTCGAGTTCGAGGATGTGACCCTGCGCAGTGGCACCTGGGACGACGCGCTGGAACCACTGACGAAGATCTCGGGGAGTGACAAATGGAAAGAAAAGCAGGAGGAGGTGATAGAGGTTCCGATCATCCTCAGTCCCGTGGAGGTAGAAACAAAGTCCAGTCACAACATCTGGGAAGAGCAGAGGCGCAGGGCTCAGCTGCGCACGCTTCTGGAGAGAGCGAGCAATCTGGCGCAGGCAAAAGCGAAGACGCGGGAGCTGTTCTGGGGCAGTCCGGATCATATGAAGAAGTTCCTGCGGTCGTCGGTATTCAGCTGGCGGTGAGTGGCCGGCTAAGCAGGCGGGACTGGCGCCTGCCTGTTTTGGGATTCACTCAGTCTGGATAGGAAGGAGCCGACTTGGGAGGAAACGGAAAGGACGACCGTGAATGATATTACGAGTTACGACTTTGCGAACATGCGGAACAATTTACGACTTTAATGACGACTTTAATGATTTATTGTTGTATGGATGTAGTTTCGATAGTGTAGTATCCTTCAATGTGATATTTCCATCGTTCTCGCAGCTTCAGTTTTAAACACAAGGCCTTACAGCACCGATTGCTGGTCGACTTGACGGATTTCAAGGAAGGCCAGTCGTGAGAAGCCATAGATAATATTCTGTACACTTTCAATGTCTCGAACCTCAGGTACAGAGTGCACATACCTAGGAATAATCCGGGATTGCTGGCTTGACTCGGCGGTTGTCACACAGTCCGCGCAGCCTCGGCAGGACCGCCGCGTCACATGTTGCGAGCGCCAACAACGTCAAGAGTCCGGGGCCGAACCGATCACTAAAGCAGCTGGCGGCCCCGTCTCCGTTTGCTGACCTCCACACCCCAGCCACGAACGACCGAGCAAGTCGCAGATATATACGTCCGTTTGTGCCTCGGCATCTGTGTCTTCGTTTTTAGGGCGCAGTTTTCTTACCTGTACTTTTAATACTCTACTTTCTTCTCCTTCCTTCCCTTCATCTGAGATCCTTTCAGCTGTGTAGTTCATTCAGGCTGAATCACAACTCCCTCCTGATAATTCCATCAATCCACACACTTAATCTACACTCTTCATTCATCCATCATGTCTGTTAAAGTCGGTAAGTGGAAGAAATAGGGTTTAGAAATCCATACTCCAGTCTTTATTCCTCTCTCTCTCTCTCCGCTGTCCTCCCCGATCACTCTTTTCCGGCCATCTCCGGCGCAATTAACTTGCTGACATCCGTTTGCAACAGACGGCTTCCCCGGCTCTGCCGCCTTCGATGTCATCAACCAGGTCCTGAAGACCGACGACGCCGAGCGCCAGGAGGCCATCAAGAAGGGCAACGCCATCTTCGCCTTCACTCTGACCAACAACGAGGGCAAGGAGCAGAGCTGGTACATTGACCTGAAGGAGAAGGGTCAGGTTTTCAAGGGCGCTGCGCCCGAGGGCGGCAAGGCTGATGGTGCGTTTGTCTGTTAAAAAAAAAAACTGGCGGAAAAGAAAGCAGGACGCTAACTTGACGTTCAATTATAGTCACCCTCCTCCTCTCCGATGAAGACTTCACCAACCTCGTCACGGGCAAGGCCAACGCCCAGCGACTCTTCATGGCTGGCAAGCTGAAGATCAGGGGGAACATCATGAAGGCGACCAAGATGGAGCCGATCCTGAAGAAGGCCCAGACGAAGGCCAAGCTGTAAATCAGGCAGCGGACGAGAAGACATGTATTTTTTTTGTCAACAACAACAAAAAAGGCCACAAAAAGATAATGACCTGGAAACACGAACACGAACAAAAGCTTGAACAATGCCATCATCACCGTCACCACTACCATGATCATAAACTATGATCTCTCGGTGGTCAGGTGGCCAGGTGACCAGCTGGCAAAACACTAATACTATAGATACCCGTCTGTCTCATCAATCAACCAATGAATGATATCTCTTCCTCTTCCTCCAATTTCAAATACACTCGATAGACAAAAAAGGGGCGCAGTTACAGCAAGTGAAAAAAAAAAGCAGCCATTGAATACTAGTATTATTGTCGTTATCATTATTATTATTATTCGTACCGTGATCCCCTGCTTATCGACTGTGTATATATACATACGTAAGCTAAGTTTTCCCGGTATGGATAGATGGATTGATGGATGGATCCTAAATAAAACCTTGATTGAGGGTGAGTGAGCAAGTGGGCCAGTGATTTGACTATATAAATAGGTAATAAATTTCTATAGAGGAAATTAGGGTTTCCAGAGGAGTAGTCAGGTATATATATTCATCTATGCTTTTGGACTTTTACTGAATTCAAGTCTACAGTAGAATTTAGTTTAGTGAGGATCGATCGATCAATCAATCAATCAGATCCATCCGTCTGAACTCAATGGATTTAAGCAAAGAGAAAAAGTTTCCAGTTCTTTATAACCAGGTACAATTGTTAAGGAAGCGAGCGATCTTCGTTTTTCTTACATTATTGTCTCCCGTTCTCTGCCTCTGCGAGCGATTTGTTGTCATTCATTCAATGGTTACCTCCAATTTGTATTCGCAGTCCTATTGTATATGTCCTTGCATAAAATATAAATAATTAACAAGAAGGAGGAAAAAAAAACAAACGACAGGGTCAACGGTTGGCAAGTATAAAACTTGAAGGAATGACAGAGCAGGTCGGTAGGTAGGTACACACTTTGCTCTTACATACTCTTCTATAGGAGAGACTGACCTGTCTGTACTTGAAGCCTGTCATCTCATACATTATAGGTAAAGTAGGCGATCGTGTCCGGGAAGACGTTGACATTGTCACTGTAGCTCGCCTGGCTCTTGCCGTTGATGACAACCTGGCTCTGGCTGCCGATGGTATTCAAGTTGTAGACCCAAAGACCACTCGTGCTGTTGCCTTCAATGCTGAAGATCTCGCTCTGGCAGTTCTCTGGACCCCCAAATTTGGAACACGTCGTGCTGTAATCGTTGAAGAAACTGTAGAGACCCGCCCCGTAGAAGATCAGGTTCTGGCTGTTGTACACGCGGAGACCCAGGGCGTCGCAGTTCCCGGACAAGCACGAGCTGTAGTTCGGATCATTCAGGGTGGAGTTGGTGGTGTAGTAAGGGCTCTTTGTCACGTCGGGGTTGGGCTGGTAGTATCTACGTGGTAGAACGATTAGTGACAGTAATCCCAAGGCAAAATGGCCAGACGATTCTTACGGAGTTTCGGTCTGGATGAAGCCCGCCACCACGTTCTGAGCGTTGGCAAATTGATACTGATACAGAGAATGATGCTCAACCGCCGTTCCGTACCTGATTAGGTCGTCAGTCAAGACGTGTTCAGGTGATTATTACCATAAATCAAAGCACTTACAGCCAAATGTTGCTGCCCTCAACAAGCAGTCCACGGCCCGTGTAGATGGAGATCTGGGTGTTGTTTGGACTATCGATGTCGTGGTCGGCAGTCCACAGCCAAACGTTCTCGAGATACACGTTGCTCGCGGACTTGGTGATGTGGAAGCTCAGATAGCCAGCCTCACACTGGGTGGAAACTGCCGCCGTTGTTGGGCATTGAGACACTTGCAAATCAGACCCCGTGAAGCCTCCGATGCGGGCATGGACATCCCACAGGCCCGATCCAGACGAGGCAGCAAGGTTGTACTCAATTAGCACGGCGCCAGGGGCAGAACCCTGAGTGCTGACGATCATGTCCGTCCACTCGACATCGCCCTGATCACCGCTCTTGCCGACCTGAACGACCGGCTGCGGCGAGTTAATGTTCGACCACAGGCTTCCGCTCGCCAGAATGATGGGATACGATTCACCAACAATCTTGGATCCAGGCGGGATGTAGATGGTGTTGGAGACTTTGTAAATACCGTAGTCAAAGAAGACAATCTGACCCGACGACGCTGCGGAAGTGATGGCGGATTGAATGGCCTGCGTGTCGTCTGTCGTGCCGTCACCTTTGGCACCGGCACTCCGGATGCTGACGATGGAACTGGTAGGAGTGGCCTCATACTGGGGTTTGCTCTTCGTATAGTAGTTGGACGAGCTACCCGTGACGAGACCAGTTGGCCTCTTTGCCGGAGTAAAGGTGCCCTGGAAGGTAGTTGGTCCCGTCGGGGTATACTTGTGACCCTGGCCCCAGCCACTGATGGTGGTCGAACCCGAAGATCCCTCCAGAATTGTTCCACTAGTACCGTTCACAGCCACCGGAACATTGTTCAGAGAAATGTTTTCCAGAATCAAGCTGCCAGCAGCAGCAGGCTTGGAGCTAGTTGTCCACGCCGTGGTGACGAAGACGTGGCTGTCGGAGATAGAGCTGTCAATGATGTTAACCGACCCGACATTCTGGGCGCCTGAGCCACCATTGCTAATGTCAATCGCAGTCGTGGTGTTAGAGATCTGGAGTCCTTGGTATGTCCAGCCCCAGTCCCAGATCTGGGAAATGCCGGTGACCGCGTTCGAAATGGTCAGGTTGCGCGTCGTAAACTGCTGGTTGCCGAGGTTGAGACCGTACAAACCGCCGGTGGTTACGATATCGGAGAGAAAGCCACCCGATCCTGGGACGACGAGAGTCAGAGTCGTTCCAGGACTGTCAGTTGGGTTGAGCAAAGAGTCTTACCGTTCTCAATGAAGATACCCTGGTGTTGCGTGCCAGAGCCCTCAGCCATATGAATCACGACATTCTGGATGCTGGTCGCTTGCGCCGTGGGCCAGTGAATCCCAGTCGCCGCAGAGCTCGCTGGGATGTCGGTCAAGTCAAGAACGAGGTTCCTGATCTGACGGAAGAACACGTTGGTCGAACCCCAGCCCTGGTTGCCATTGCTCTGGTACTGGTCACCATCGATCAGGCCAAGGCCGGTGAAGCCGGATGTCGCCTTAATGACTGCAGGAGAATTGGGGTTGCCAATCAGTTGGGTGTAATAATAGTCAATGATGGACGACGAAATCAAGTAAGTTCCAGCCGGGAAGTACACAATGGCCGGAGTGGTGGTCGTGGTCTCGCCGCTCGACGGCCCGTTCCGGCCGCCATCGCTGATGGCCTTGTTGATAGCCGCGGTGTCATCAGTCACACCATCGCCTATACGTTTAATAACGCTTGTCAGACACGGCCACCCGAGGAGAGCATCTAAGGATATCTACCTGCTGCGCCATAGTCCTTGACATTGCGGAAAACTACATAGCTGTCGGCAGAAGGGGCGTACGGCGCGTAGCCCTGGTGTTTGATATCGGCGAGCCAGTACGACGGGTCCGAGACACCAGCCATAACAGCATGGTTCTTCGTCGCAGGCGTCGCCTTGGCTGATGCCGCGGCAGAGCCGGTTGGGCCATGATACGCCGTGTAGGCCGCATACTCGCTCAGAGCTTCACTCACGACGTGGTCAACCGCGGGGATATCCAGTGACGCAGCACTCAGGCCCGCGACCAGCGCGCAAGAAGTAAGGAAGGACGTCAAATGCATTTTCGCCAGGGTCGTTAAGGAAAGACAGGGCGAACGGGAGAGTCTGGAGAGAGGCTCTTTCCCGAGTGACGCTCGGGGATGTGCACGTTTTTGAATCTCCCACCGTGCCCATCGTGGAATATTACCTTCTATCGTCTACCATCAGCCAGTCGACCACGGAAAGGGAAGCCCGAGAAATGGCAGCAGCGGGGCAATTCCCAAAGGCGTGCCAATCGACTGCAGGAAACAGCGACAGAGGACTGCGACGTTGGCCTGGGAAATGCCCCGAGGATGAGGCATTGCGATGACGATTGCCGGGCCACGTCAGGCGCGTAAATGGAGGGTATCATCACGACCATGGTAGAGGCTCAATGTCACCTCGTCCCAGTAGCTCGTCAGGCGTTCGGGCTAGTTCATGGAGATGCGCGGACAAGCCTGGGGCTAGCGACCCGATGCGCGCGGCAGGGGCAGAATTGGGAAGTTGGCCAGTCCGGCCGCGCGGATGCCTGTCGCGATCCATGGATAGCAGCAAGTCGGGATGCGGGGCTGAGAGCGAGGCCCTGCAAGGGGGGTGCCCGGAGACGCATGCCAGGGTCATCTCATTTCCGTCCGGCGTCACAGCAGAATCGCATTTGATGCTGCACCCTGGTCTGCATGGCCATCATCCGTGGACCGTCGATTGTCATGAGTCCTCCCCGCAGTTGATTGGCAACCAAGCTCACCTCCAGGGCTGGGACAATCTCTCGCAGTCCGTGCTCACGCTCATGTTGCGAGCATGACCTGGTAATGTGCCTCTCTTGTCCTGTATGACCAGCATCAAGTGACCTGCCTGGTGATGCCTGTGCGTCGCGTGTCGCACAGCTCGACCCGGCTGGATCCGGCTTCAGATCCAGCACGAGTATCCCCCAAGAGTCGCAAGACTTAGTCTGCCAATTATTGGAGTTGGAGAAATGATAAAAGCCCGTCCCCTGTCCAAAGTACGCCGTGAAGAGTAAAGGGAGGTATGATGGCGTCGTCCAGGGTTGCATAGTGTCGGTGCTAGTTGCCGATATGGCGTCGGATTCGCATTTACTCCGTACCTTATTTCCTGGGCTAAAGCTTGTCCAGTCGAGCTAACTCGAACGATCATGTTGGCCCATCACGTTTGTTCGCCGAAAAATGATACATAAGATCACGTTCCCCTCACATGCGACTCTGCTCCCTAATATATTTTACTTTCCTTCTCCGTCTGCTCCGGCACCAAGGCTGCAACGTTGCGGGACGGCGCATATCCATGGATGCTTCTAACAATTGCCATTGTTAGATCTCCGGTGAGAATGCCTGGAAATTCAGGTGCGGAGACGCTGCAACTGGTAAACAATATATGCGCATGTGAGGAACTCTTCATTGCAAATGATGACGTCGTGAACAGCGAGTCTCCTCTACGTGCCAGTGTTAAGAATATTCTGGCGAAGGCAGTGTAAACTTAGTCAAGACTACCTGTACTTTAGCTATGGCCATCATAGAAAATAAATGACCAATACGTGGAGGAAAGATGGCAAGAGGTCTATGAATCGACGAGTAGCTATATATATGGGCACTAGTATGTTGTTTTCGTTCTTTTCTTCAGGCGAATTCTCCAAGGCTTCGAGAAGTCACAAGCAAGGCCAGCCACGTGCTCGAGTGACCTGGGGGAGCCTGGCCAGTGCGCGGTGTGCTGACTAAGGCTCCATGTTCCCGAGCATGCCCCGCGTACTCCGTAGTTACGGAATCAGGCATCATTATTGACTCGGGAATCAAGCTCAATTCGACCCTCGAGCACCTCGATTCGGCCGTATCTCATTCTGACGTCAAGCCCCGCTAGGGCCTCGACGTTGCTAATCATAATTAACATGGCCTTGTAAAGCCTCTACAATGGAAGAATCCAA